AATGACATTCATTCATAATTTAAGCCGCACTTTGACGGTGGAGTTCCTGTCATTTTCCACGATCTTTCATCAATCTCTTCAGTTGTTGATACGACACGACTCCAACTTCTTATTATCTTATAATACTTGTATTTTATCTTCGCACTATTTATTAATAAAAATAGTAGATAATTACCGCATAACCTCACTAAATGGATGGATATGGAATATAACTTCACTACTTGCTTTTATAACGCACGTGTCTTTTATAAGCTTCATTGTATATTGAAAACCATTGAAATGAAATCCACTTTACGAGCAAGTGTGTTGAGAAAAAAATATATAAAATTTCGTAGAAAATATCCAGACCAATACAAACAATCATAGGTATTCGTGACCCGCGAAACGATTCGCGGCCATCGGAAGTAACACAGTCTGAACCGCTAGATTACGAGGCCTCAGATAAAAATAATAAATCCATTTTAACCGTATTATTGGTTAGCCATTGACATAACGGTCTAAATTCTACTAACATATTTGTTCAGAAATTCCATCGGCATTTCTAAATATTAGCATCTCCTAAACAGCCCACGAGGGGGGCCGCTGCGCATACATTTAAATATTTTTCAATCGGATTTTATTACAAGTATTACTACAGGTTTGGGGCAGGTCATCGTCCGAATAAACGTAACATAGATATTCATAAGGGTCGCCACAGATGTATTTCAAGTATTGTTATCTAACATTTTACTCTTCAAGTTCAAATCAAATGTGTTTCTTCATGTCTATTACAGACTCTTATGATATGTCAAATCTACCGTCAGTTGAGTGCCTTCGAGCAGACGGTAGAACATGCAGATGGTTTTGTAAATTATTAGAAGTGTGAAGATTTAGTACTTAGAACAGAGTTCTCTGGCGCAGATGTACAGGGAGACCCGACCCCAGATAAACTGGGAACATGGGTTGGACAAAGAAGAAGTGAAGATTTAGCACTGATTTTATACGGTAAGGAGCAATGACGTAGTTAGGTAACCAACGTCCCTGGGACAATTTAAAAAATCTGCTGAGCAATGGGGCATTACAGTTTTATTAAAACGCACCTATCCGTCAAATTGACAACACTGCCAACCTATAAAAAGAATTAGGGAAATTCCGAAGGTATAATTTTCGAATTTCACTTAACTAAGTTATCATGATTAAAGTCGGGTTGTAACTGGTAATATTTATTTTGAAAATGTGAGAAATTTTCAAAAGTTCAGTTCGATCGAGATTTTCTAGTAAGGGTTCGAGGGTTCCCTAAGCTTGAGGGCCCCGGAGTACTGCCCCGCCTAGCCCCTAGGTAGCTACGCCACTGGTAAGGAGGCATGCCATCAAACACACACGTCCGAACACCTTCACGTAATTTGCATGCCTGTATGGTAAATATTGCTGAACAATCAATTTCATGTAACATCATATTAATTATAATACTGTACCAATATTTCGCAAATAAATTATTTCATTTCATTTCATTTCATCCTTCCAATGGTAATCGAAATTACGACGACCTACGCTGAGGATCGAACTTCTACCCCACGGACTATATCAAATCTATTTGGTCCTTCCAAAGGAGTTGACCTTCATCCGTTCCAGAAGTCCTTCCGCGGGTTTCGAGTGCCATCTGCTATGGTCCGGTGAAGCTGTAAAGCTGCAGCCAATAACAATAGAATACTTCGAAAAAAATCTCTGATTGTGAGCTGCTCTTTTCCTTTGATGTTCCCGCAAAAGTATATGTAAATACTTAGGTATCACTCGGTCAGCTGATTGTCACCTTTGGTCCTTGTTGCTTTCGTTTTTGAATACAATAGGACTTTCTTCAATTCCTGAACTACGGAACAACATATTAGCATGTACTGGATAATCATGAGAGAAAGTGAACTGTCATTGCATAGCTTACCTTGAGTGCAGGGCTTCCCAACCAGTGGTCCGGTTAAACAAAATACGGTCCGCAAAGGATTACAAGATTTGTCTAGTAATCTTTTGCGGACCGTATTTCTGCTCCTAGACGCATGACCTGTCCTCTGTAATGTCAACGCATGAGTGGTATCTTGGATGTCACATAATAACATGATGTCCGTAGTGCTGTTCATGTATGTAGGTGACGGTTAGGTACCGGTTAATATAGGTGCCAACTGAGGCCGAGGTGCCCACCTGAGATTCAGATTATTTGCTATTCCGACCACATATATTATTAGGATAATCGGATAGTGCTTCGTGTTACAATATGACACGACTATAGTTCTTTAGACTAAAGTTTATTTACATATACACTAGCTGTGCCCACGGTTTCACGAGCGTTAAATTTCAATATATAAGTTTCAATAAAAAATATAGCCTATATGTTATTCTGATGCTGATCTGAAGCAATATTACTGTAAAGTTTCATTTTTTCATGAAAGAGTAACAAACATCCATACTTACAAACTTTCGTGTATATAAATATTATTATTAAGGTATAATAATTACTTATAATTTGTAAAATAAAATAAAAACAAAAATAATTATTATTCATGTAGGACATTTTAGCCGCTTATAAACGTCAAGTTTTTTTTTTTGTTTAATATTTTTTGTCGTGATGTAATCTATCTTAATCTCAAGTTTCATTATGATCCGTGTAGTACTGAATAAGCAATATAAACACTGACATACATTCGCTTATAATATTAATATGGATATTAGTATAAGTATGGAAGTATATAAATTTTACCAATTTTTTTAATACAATGTATAAACAAATAAATCTAGTGGTCCCCGATTAAAGAAAGGTTGAGAATCACTGCTTTAGTAGAAAGTGATGGGTTCATTTACTTTTGGAAATGTTGTCAACGAACAGATAAATATGACAATATTTATGTAATATATATAAATATATGCACACATACTTCTTGTGGCCTTGTGATTTATTACCGAAATTATAAATCCCAAAGGTCTGGTGTTCGAATCTGGCTGACATAAATACTTTTTTCCTAAACAACAACAACAACAGCAACAACATAAATATAAAAGGGACTGTATCCATAGCCTATAAACATAGGCGATGGATCAGTATCAATGTTCAGGGTAGAGGGATTGTTAGTAATGGGGACTAGTAGCCCGTTGCTAGCTACGTACAAGATCGACCTCCACGCGGTTCCCCTTGGAAACCATCGCGTTTAATACTTGGTAAAATCATCACAGTAGACTAACTGACCTGACCTCATGCTCATCTTATCTTCCTGCTCTGGCGCCCCGCCAGCTCAAACCGTTAGCGAAGTCGATTGGTGGCCAACCACTCGCCATTTGTAAAAAAATGAGACATGTTCCTTAGCGAGATAAAATGAGTATTCAGCTATTAGAGAAAACGTAATATAAAGATTATGGCGTTAGAAAACAATCGGTATAAAAGGTAGGAAGGTTTTTTTAAGCACATGGACAAACGAGATTGTGGCTCACTTGATGGTAAGTGATTACCGCCACCTATTAACACACGCAACAACAGGGTAATTGCAAGTGCGTCGCCGGCCTTTTAAGAAGGAATGAGCTCTTTTCTTTAATTTTTTAATATCGTATCGATTCGGAAATACCATTGCTGGAAGGTGATTCCACTATGTGGTTATGAGTAGCAAAAACTTTCAAGAAAACTGCACTGTGGATCACTATTCATGCAGATGATCAGGATGGTATTTTAGTTTCTGGTGGAAAGTACGGTGGTGAAACTCAGCAGGCGTAGCTGGTATTAATCCGAACGATTCCTCAGAACACTCACCGTGATATACCTATTCGGTGTATGCTTTGACACACATACGCACACACGCACTCCTACACACGCACGCACATGCACGTTTTACTTTTTTAAAACACTATAAATAGTAAAATGATTTTTTTTCGAAATTTTACACACAAAACAATAACAAAAAATTTTAAACATTGCTACATTTACAAAAAAATCCTCTTACCTCTTGTATAGTCCTCTTACCATTCAGTCGATGTTAAGTTTACTGTAATTGTAGGTATGAGTGTATTTAAGCATCTACATTTCATTTCATTTCATTACATGCGGTAGAAAATAAATGCACATACATACAGAAAAGCAATATCTTTAAATATCTATAAAAATATATAGGCGAAACCATAAAAAAGATTGCTTTCTGAAACACCATAAGTGACATATTATCTTATTAACCTCCTGACCGACACGCAGCAATGCAAACAATGCCAGACTAGCAAAATTAGCATAGGCAGATATCTTATAACCGTTGAGTAAATGTTTTACAATAACTGTCATTAGTTAAACGAATCATTGGACTTTCACTTATTTTTTACTGGACATTTGACGGAAAAAATATCATATTAAGATAAACAATAGTTATTTAATTTATAAAAATACATGTGCAGAAGATTCGCACCGGCAAATAATATTAAAAATATTATTATATATAATACTAAAAAAAATAAAAATTTAAACCACTAACAAAAAATAGAGTCGAGTTAAAAATCTTCTCCTTGTATGGAGTAATAAAATAAAAAGTATTTATTTATTCCACTTTCAATTGATCAATGCCCGGTGTAATTTATACATATCGTATATTAATTTTAAATCAATGTAGATTATTACAAAAACACTACCTACCTATATGGAATCTACATGAAAAGAACTCGTTTTTCTCAATGGAGAGGATTTGGTACTGAAATCACCCATAATTAGCAACATTTCATAATATACACCCAAAAAATATGTAAACACAGTTTAATTGAAAACTGTTGAATCAAAAAGAGATTAATAAATAAATAATTTAATTTGGCAAACTGAAAGTTGTTAGTGCCACTGACCCCTATAAAAATAGATAAATTACACGGCACGCAATCAACGTTCATTAACAGTTAATTTGCAAAAAGACACCTAGACACCTTAAGTACATAATGACAATGTTAAGCGAGCAGTTAGCGTAAACACGCTACGTATGCGGGGCCGGGCACCGTTAGTCCGTCCTTATAAATGTAGACCATCACCCGTCTGGTTAGTATAACGCGCCGACGACCATGAGGCTGTACGTGCATCCACTATTTTTGTTTACATTTCTTTCGATCGCATTCGCGGCCAAGCTGCCCGCGCTCGATGTTCGAGATTTAGAGAAAAAACTCGCCATTGTAGCACAGGAAGCTGCGAAAGAAGATGTTGTGCCCGTTGACAATGGCCCTATTAGTGAAGAATCGACCGATCAGAAGATTGCCGTTAACGAAATAGAAAATAATCTCCGTGTCAAATTAGACGATATTCCCGTTAAAGTTGTCGTTGAAAACGTTAAATCGGTATTGGAAAGTGACGGCGTGAAAACTGATGAAGAACAAAAAAGTGAAGACAGTTCTGATATCAAGAGAGTGGAAGTTGACCTCAACAATCCAGGGCTGCCGCAACGTCAGGAACATGACACACAAAATCCCGAACACTTTGAAGAAAAAGTACCTAAATTGAAGGAAAGCATTGATAACACGCAAGCAGCTTTAAAACAAGGATTCCAAGGTGTTGCTGATTGGATTGCAAATAATGAACAAGTGAACTCTATACAGAGTAGTCTCGAAAATCTACAAAACAGCTTCACGAGCCAAATTGAAAAACTGAATAACACAGTTCAGTCTATTTGGAATAAAAACCAAGATGAAAATGAGTCAGGGCAAATAAAAGCAATAACTAACGTTGAACTTGGTCTGAAAACTTTAGAGAATAGCTTCAAGAGTGGAATCAAAGCTTTGACTGATGAGGTCTATAGTTCTGGTACTGTAAAGGCTGACGGTGATAAACCAGGAGAAGGTGGAGCGACAACAGATGGATCAGCATCAGGTGCAGCAAACAATCCCTTTGTCCAGGCATTACAAAACTTCCAAAATACTGTATCTCAAAGTTTATCGAATGTGACCAGCGCTTGGCAAAATTATATTACAACAATTCAACAAGGAAATTCCAGCAATAACACAAATGCTGGCGCCGGCAGTATTATTTCTGGAATAGGAAGTGGAATACAAAACATATTCGTCCAAACCCCTTCCACCCCTGCTGGACAGTCCGATGAACCGAGTGCTACCACGTCCAGACCAGGTCTACCTATATGGCAAGGTATTCAAAACTCTTTACAGAATATATGGAACCTGGGTCAAAATCAAGGAGCACAAAATACACAAAATGACCAACCTGCCCCAGCCAGTGGACCTATCGCGCAAGCGATTCAAAACAATCCCATCGTTCAAGGAGTAGTAAACTTAATACAGCCGAACAGGCCTGGAGCGCAACAGCCTCCAGCGGCGAAACCGACTGAATCCACCCAGCAGGAAGGCAGCAATGCTGTACCAGCACCCGCTGAATCGAAACCTGAACAGTCTACTCCTGAGAAGCCACCACAGCAGTCGGTCGACGGGCCAATAAAGAAGATTATTCAGAATAATCCAATTGTGAAGGGTATATCTGGTGCTGTGCATAAACTCACAAGCCCAGAGAGACCTAGAGACACACTGGAGGGCCAGGCGACTGAAGATGTTAAGGGTGGGCTTTTCCTGCACGGTGGGTACGGATATGGCGGACACGGGGGTCACGGTGGACACGGCGGACACGGTGGCTCAAACAAAGGTAAATATTAACACTGTAATTACAATAATTCTAAGTAGTAAAGTAACAGCATATCGCTGGGCGTATTTTTTTTTACAATCTTGCCATAGATAAATACGAAGAGCAAAATAATCATACAAAAGAAAGCCAATTTCGAGATTCATTATTTCATTTTATATATATTTCTATTTATCTACTATTGAAGATATTTACAGTATTCCTCGTTTAACATTATCTATGTACTACTACTCTACTTTCTATTTTTTTAAGTAACGACTCACTTAATTTTTTTATGTATAATATTATACATAGTCATATTATTTTATTGGAATGTGATCTTTATATTTCGTTCATATTCTTATAACTTCTTTATTTCTTTACAATTTTCAGTATATATATGTATATATATAACATTATGTAAACCACCTATAAATTTTAATTCCTTCAGTGACAGCATGGAGCAATTTCGTGAACAGTCTCATAGGTACAATATCAGCTTCTATAAATGGAACTACTGGCACAATATCAACAGCCGTCAACAGCGCTATAAACACACTAGGCACTAATCTTCAGGTACCTTGGACAATGGGGAACAAATCAATGTTTTGTGTCGTTTTGTGTTAAAGCTTTGTTTAACTACAGGCAATTTGTTGTGAACTTGTGGCGGTTACAAATAGCTCGTAATATTAGGGAATAATGAAATATTAGCTTATATTAGCTTCACGAACTCAAGAAGTTCTTCTTGAGTGAGATATAACTTAATCATACTACGTTTTCATACATATTTTTAAGTTCTAAAACAGAAGTTTCATTAAAACATCAAAATTATCGGAATCTTGCCACGAATAACTGATAAATAGCAATTAATTTTAAAAAAATCTCTAAAATTAGAGAGGGACATCTTAACATGATTAATTCTTTTTGAGTTAAAAAACAGAAGAGCGATCAACTGGAATATTTTATTTGAAAAAAAAAACGTAATCTTACCACGGTTTATTCGTATCTTTAAGTACCCCTCAAAATTACGAACAAATCTTGATAAGATCTTATTAAATAATATTGCGTGTTTAAATAATAACCCAAGTTATATGACATATAAATGAAAATTATGTTAAAAGTTTATAAAAATCTAATATGTTTTTAAGAAATAGTACATAGTACTCTAAACATATAAGTGCCTATTATAAAAGATTACGTATCTGAAATGAAATCTAATTGTTAGATAGATAATTAAAACGTTAGAAGCAAACAGCCCATAGCATAGCTTCATCTGCACAGTGCCAATATCTTGTTTTATAACAATTTTCAATAAGGTCCCGACTGCTATTCTATTGATGGTATCTCGATAAGTCGATACTCAATAGCAGATCTATCTCCAGTATTTATTTTAGTTGAATCATTCATAATTTTAGAAATATGTAGGTTATTTTGTTTCTTTTTCGTAACTTCTGCTCCCGAGTGATTGATTCTTCTTTTAGTATATGGCAGGAATATACTTTATTTCTAATTTATTTTTACCATATTACGCCGACTCCAAATAAATGGGATAGGGAAGATGATGATGCTACTGTATCTAATATTTGTTGTATTTTTAAATATTTGCCGATGATTTTTATTACATATAAAATAATCTATTTTTATTTTTAAACTTCTACTCATGTATAAAAAACATGTATATCTATAACATAATATTTTCACCCACCTTTACTGCCATGAGTAAATTGACTGACAAGTAATAAGACTACTATAATACTTATATTATTATTACATATCTTTTTTTATAATCTCTTATTTTAGTAATTTTTTTTATATTTATCGCTACCGACCAGTACAGCTATCTTCGTCAGTTCAGAACTGGCAAGAATCTCGACTTGTACATTTTTCTACTAAGACTAATATCTGTATAGCTTTCTAAACTGACTGACATATGTTATAATAATATTGTACTTAAATACAATTATACTGATAATAGTTACTAATGAGACACTAACTCTTATATTACTAATATTATGACCGCGAAAGTTCATGAGTATGGATGGAAAGATGGAGGAATTGATGTTTGTTACTCTTTCACGCAAAAACTATTGAATAGATTTTAATGAAACTTTACAGTAATATAGCTTATACATCAGAATACCACAAAGGCTGTAAATTACACGGGGTGAATCCGCGGGCACAGCTAGTTTTTTAATATTACGCTTTGAATGAGACAGTTGACGGAACACTTATTTCAAAATGACTATCGACTATAACTGAATATATTTCGACGCTATTGCAGGCCCTAATTATTTAAACAGATTAATAATTACTAACAATTCTCATTTTAAACAGATTAATATCTACAATTTTGCAATTATATACGGACCACGATGGTTTCCGGGGGAACCGCGAGGTTACCCTGATATAGTATATTGCTAGCAGTAGGGTTGTTAGTCCACATTACTAACAATCCCTTTCACCTAACTAGACTGCTCTGTATGATACGATACCTTCAGAGCCTTGTTATTGCAATTGTATCAGATTAAAAATTGATAGGTTTTAGGATTTTCTATAAACCATTATTAGCAATTGCAACTGTGCATAATCAAAAGTATATATTACAATTTATTCCGTTTCGTTTCTATTGGTTTGTTAGTGATGTTGAATACGAATCTCATAACAATTATTTATAAGTGCTTTTTATTTACAGAGCATAGTGACGGCAATAGGGGCATAGAAGAAGTAAAAAGTAACGTAGAAGAAGTAAAGAGAATAGAAAACGAGACTAAAGCAGACGAGGTAGAGAAAGAAGAGTCCAAGCCCGAAGTGGAATCCGACAAGACTGAATAAGTCACAACGTGTAGTGTGATAATAATTTAACTTTAATTTATTGATGATTAAGATTAAATGTAAATAAATACCTTAAAGAATTGTTTTTATACGTTGATACTATCTTTAACTCGGTAAATCTTACCAAAGTAGAGTTTGTAAGAAATCAGCCGCATGGATAGGTACATTTATCTGTACATATAAATAAAATTGGATTGTCTGTTTGTAATACTGAGATAACCGGTTTTTAATATGTACATGCATATGAATATAAATAGGGCATATATATCAAAATGACATTTTTTACAATTTTTGTATGTCTGTGTGTTTGTTCCGCCTAATCTCTGCAATGGCTGAACCGATTTTGACAGGTAGCTGATGTAATAAGAAGTAACTTTAAGGAGTAATTTTAAAAAAATAAAGTATAAAAAATTTTACGTTCATAATAATAATAATAATAATCTCAGGACAATTCACACAGCGCCATCTAGACCCAAGTTAAGCTAGCTAAAGCTTGTGTTATGGGTCCTAGACAACTGATACAAATACATAGATATTTTTTTTTTCCTAAATACATACATATTATACATAGAAAATACTCAGACCGATACAAACAATCATACTCATGAATACAAATGTTTGTGTCGTGCGAGGAATCGAACCCGCGACCATCGGTCATAAAGCGGTATGCTAGACCGCTAGACCACCGAGGTCGTCAAAAGTTCATAAGCGGTATAACATGGTACATTTTAGCACTAGGGTCAATAGTCTGCATTACTAACAATCCCCATCGCCCTCTGGTGCAGATTTCCTTATCAGATAAGGTCCTAGTGTCTTGTCCGGGCAAGAAGCCCCAAGGAATGGTATTCAATCCCTTGAAGGTGGTAATTTAAACTGCTTATAATATTTGAATAATTATTATTTCTATTTCTGTTTCTTTCGTAGCCTCATGAAATAGAGATGAATTGATACAATAGGGGAATGAATAAAACATTTTTATTGTAATTACATATATATTTTTTACTATACACATAATTTACATGTACATCAATATATTTCGTATCATTGGACTTATCTGAAGATAATAATCTCCATTATAATAAAGTACATATATAATTAATTTTAAAGAACATTGCACATTATATTATGATCTAGTTAATTAAATAAAATAATAGTAAAGTAAATACTGACGACACCGGTCTGAGGCCCATTGGACCCCTAAATCTTGCCCTGGGTACCCGTTATTCCATATAAAAAAAGTTCCATTTGCCCCACACAAGTTGCGATGTTTCCACTAATTTAGAATGTAGTACTGACCCCACCGAACTCCATTCCGCCTCAGAATTAAATTATGGCAAAGGTTTTTTGAAGTTTGGTTACGCAATACATTTGTGAACGCTCCCTGTTTGACAGGTGTGAACAGTTTGTATGGGAAAATAAAATTGTTCTTTTTACGACTTTCCGTGTAACTTATTCAAATGCAATATTAGCCAGATCGCTCAAAAAATATCCTCAAAACGATATATATCGTACCGTATCTCCTACATAAAGAGTTCCTTGGCAGTAAATTAATGGTCATTGGACCTACTAAACTAAAATACGAGAAAAGAAAATAGCTTATTCCTTCTTAAAAGGCGGCAATGCACTTGCAATTCCCAAATTTGCAATTTGGTGTAAGTGATTACCGCCGCCCATGCACCCATGAGCCGCAAGATATATAGGGCGAGTGGATTACTTAAAAAGGCAAGTTTTGAGGGTCCTATGCACCCTAGACCACGACTCTAACGGTGTAACATTTACACGTACATCAATTATTACATTTATTATAATCTGTCATGTACCTATGTTTGCTTAGCATAATTTTTTACTGAGTGTAGTATATTTTATAATATAAAGTTTTTGACCGCCAGAGGCTGTAGCTGTTATCGAATTTAAGTAAATACACGCCTTCACCTGGATATCTGTGGGAGCCAGCATACACCTGTAATATTAAAATACAAGGGCAATTAATTTTAAATTTTATTTGAGCCGTCATCTCAGGAATTAATATTTGACGGTGTCAACCGTCATGTTAATTTCACTGAAAAATCAAACTCCTGGCGGGGTGAAGATTTTCGGAGTTAGCCCCGAGGGATTAGTCCTTTCGTCCTGGTATTGACTCTAGGACTAAAAACACTCAGGTAACGGTGGAATCGTACTCTGAGGCGGAGTATTTTTTTGGACTATTACTTGGTTTTGGTTGTACCCGTAGTCCTGCGATCTGCATAGATCTATCGTGCTCGCTCTTATTTAGTGTTCGCTGCCTAGACAAGAATCGAAGGATATTCTTAGGAGCGACGATTTTTATATCCACAGGATAGAGTGCAAACTTTCAAAAAGATATTTTGTTTATGTATCAGTGGGCTACAAACACATACGAGATGTAGTGATGTTTCCTCCCATTTGACAAAATCTAAAAATATAGTGTTAATCGGGCGGGTTACTAATGTGAGACTTTAAGTCTACATTTTCGTGATAATAATAGATGCTAGTGCTTGATTAGGAGTTTAATTAAATAAAACCGGGTTCGAATATTACTTTAATACTGATAATGCTATAGAAATGTATAATAAAGGGGCTTTGCATTACCCCTCTGATTGACCCCAGTCCATTCAAACGGAGATCGAAATTACGACGGTTTGAGCTGAGATTCGAACCCCTAGCGGTGCCCTCAAACTAGTCTTATCCGTCGGGCGGGAATTGGTATTCAGCCGCTACATAAGTTCTTCCGCGGGTTTGGCGTGTCATCTGCACTCGCACCCTATCGTCCGGTGAAGCTGTAAAGGCCAGCTGCGGCCGACAGCATTAGAGTAGACAGAAAAAAATTGAGGTGAAATTGCATGTGTACAGTAAGCATACATGTTTTTTTTATGGATGATAATGGAATGGTGCACCCGTCCAGACGGGTGCACCATGCTGGCGGGGCACCGATGGAAGAAGATAAGATGAGCACGAGGTCAGGTGAGTCAGCTCATCGTGACAAATTCACCAGTAATTTATCACGAGGGGAAACCGCGTGGAGGTTAATCTGACATGGTACATTGCTAGCACTGAGATCATCAGTCCACATTATGAACAAAACCTTTCCCCCCTAAGCAGACACGTTGGCCGTAATAATATAGAGAGGGTAGTCACCTCTGTGTGGCAGTCGCGGCGGTAGATGGAGACGACGAGGCTGAGCAGCGGCCGCGCGCCCCCCGCCCCGCCCGCCGCCCCCGCCCCCCCCGCGCCCCCCGCGCCCCGCTCCGGGTCCCCGGCCGCCTGCTCCCCGTACTCTGTACACCACGCGCAAATATACACATCATCATCGATTTGACGACCTCGGTGGTCTAGCGGTCAATCACACCGCTTTACGACCGATGGTCGCGGGTTCGATTTCTCGCACGGCACGAACATTTCTATTCATGAGAATGGTTGTTTGTATCGGTCTGGGTGTTTTCTCTATATATACATAATATGTATGTATTTACAAACAAAAAACTTAATTTGGGTCTAGATGGCGCTGTGTGAATTGTCCTGAGATTATTATTATCATTATATAATTTGGCTGCGTATTGTTCTTCTCTTCCATTCATCCCTGTTCGCAATCATCACGTTACTTACTTCTTATCAGATCATCTTTCACGCAGCCCATCCATCTCTTTTTCGGCCTTCCTCTGATCTTATAAACACATTCATATGTAATAAACGTAAGAGATGAATAATAATAATAATTTTTTCTAGACCTAAATTAATACATACTAGATAACTGAAAATACATAGACCGATACAAACAAATATATACATACTAGAATACAAAATGTTTGTGCCGTGCGAGGAATCGAACCCGCGACCATCGGACATAAAGCAGTGTGCTACACCGCTAGACCACCGAGATCATCTGTAATAGACTGTGTGATGGATAATATGTCAGGAAAAGGAGTAAATAACGAGACATATTACGCAGAATATATATAACCATGTAGAATACTCATGATAACTAATTTTCCAAAGTAGCTATTTGAAAATAAATTTAGATTTTTTTATATCAAACTAATGATTAAGCACCCTCTTTCTTTGGGAATGTTATTTAACTTTATCAATACTGACTTTCGGTGAGATTTATATATCCTTAGGACTAATATAATTAATGACAATGCTGTGTATAACACGAACCATCATCGTCGTATCCATCGTCATCAGCGTCCTCTTCTTCGTCGCTCTCCGACAGCTGCATAGTGACTTCGGTGGTCGGTGACTTGCCCCATTCAAAGTACACGCCAAAACCTGTCAAACATCAACACTATTAAAAACAGAGAAAAATATAGTGTCGCATACAGTAAAGTAGCAACAAAACTCAGAGAGCGCGTTCGGCTTGAGCTTGAGCAGAATTTGAATCGCTACGTAACGTTCATAACGTACCTTTAAAATCCACTCGATCGAGGCAACGTATTTTCTGTTCACTCAACCAAATTTGTAATTTTATAGTACTAGCCTTTACCCGCGGCTTCGCTTGCATTGAATCCATTAAATAACTTCATTACTGGCTGATAGATGGCACTGAAGTTGCAAAATGTTGATATTTAATTTATTTCTTTTATTTTTTAATAAACGTTAATTTTAATATCTTGTTTTTTTATAAAAAATACTTGTTTTGTTTTTAATAAAAAGTCCTATGTTCATTCTAATAGCTCCAAGAACATGTGTACAAAATTATATGATGATCGGTTTAGTAGTTTTCGCGTGAAAGCGTAACAAATATCCCTACTTTTACATTTATAGTATTAGTAACGAAAGTAAGGATTTACCAATAAATTCAGGATAGAAATTCTCTATTTCTACCACCCCGTAATCTTCTGAAGCCATTATCAAATACCATATTTCATTTGAGCAGTATCGTCATGTACCAATAGTTAACTAGCTGATCCGACTGACCTTTCTTCAATATAGTCTGTTTTTTAATCCAAGAGACAAATTTGACATTACCAGTTGCCAGGTATTTGCAATTGTTGTGCATGGTGTGTTGCTAGCAATGGGGTCTAGTGTCCCCATTGCTAGCAAGATACCATGTTAGGTCAACCTGCATGCGGTTTTCTCTGGAAACCATCGTCGTTAATTCCTGGTTATTTAATTATGATGGGCAAACTGACCTGACTCATATTCATCTTATTATCCTCCACTGGTGCCTCGCCAGCGTAAACCGTTAGCGCAGAAGAGTGCACTATTTCATTATCAACCATGAAGAAAAATTACCATTTTTATAGTTTGGTTATCCGAGATTAAAAAACAGACTACAGATAGATATAGATATATAATTTATATATATATATATATGTAGATAAAGATATATATATTTTTTTATTTGTATCTTACTATCCATATATAGCTTTTTATATTAGCCACTATGGTTTCCAGGGGGGGTCGCGTGGAGTCCAACCTGACATGGTACGTTACTAGCGATGGCCTATAGTCCCCTGGGAGAGTGTCGCAAGTGATGCAGTGAGTAGTGCGGCACGTACCGAGGTCGTAGTCGTCGGTGGCGAACTCCCAGGCGAGGCAGGAGGCGCGCGGGTGCGTGGGCACGCGCAGGGTGAGCGTGTCGCCGCGCGGGACCACCACGCGGCCGCCGCCCGCCGCCGCGCCCGCCTTGAACCGGCTCACCTCGCCGCGCGAGCCCGTCGTCCACATCCGCGCCGCGCTCACCGACGGGAACTCTGCGCACCGTTACCGGGGACGGATCGTGAATTTGTGGAGCCTGGGCTGGAGTTACTTAGGGGTCTACCTAATTATATTACTCGACTCCACTGATCCAAAAACGAGCGACCAGAAATTCAATAGAAGCACTCGCATGGGTGGATCGGTCTCAGGGTTGCCAACCTTATGATAGGTATTTTAACATTCCAGATATTTCTTTATATTCTAAATATCGTTTCAGTGGGGAGCGGGGGTCCTTTATATCCTCGGGGCCTTAGATAGATCCGCCCCTGACCATTACACTAATGGTCTATTTCTTCAAAACAAAACTATGCATGTTTTTGCCACGGCGAAATAAACTTAATTCGAAAATTCATTATTCAAGAATCCGAAAACGTCCCATTTTATATGTTGCTCGTTTTTATTATTCTATAGTTGCCCTTACACTAGGCTCTTTCATACTCGAATCGAATTTCACGCGAAAAATAATGTGCATGTACACCAAAATGATATATATCATTTTAATATCAATTAATTACAAATGTACCAATTATGCTATACGTTTTCCGCACTATTTAATAGATAATAAATTTATATTATTAAGGAATTATACGTAGTAATTATTTGCTTACTGACATCACTCAATACTGTATTTCTACTTTAGCTATACCTGCGGTTTTATTTACTTTTAATCATCTTGTGTTAAAACGTTCTATAGTTCTGTATCATTTTATTGTACTCGAGGTAATATTAATTAATATAAGAAAATTTACTCAATATAGTGTTTTAATATCTCAAACCTATACATACGCACTATAAACAAACTATTTTTTTAATATCAAAATATACTAACCATCGCCATCTGACTCATCTTCCGCTCTAGGCTCCTCAACATATTCGATGACTTCATCGACTTTTTCCGTCGTCTGCATCGATCTAAATTATAGTTATAAAATATAGTATAGTAAAAATATTATAACATTGAAAATTAACATGAATTATGGGGCTAAACACATATTTTTTTAATATATTAAGAAAGAGTGTTTGCGCTAATGATAAACTGAGCATGATCTTCCTTGCAACGGTCGACCTTCGATGAAATTTTGGTCTCGATCGGTCAAGCTGTTTCGGAGGAGTATCGTCACAAAGAGTGCAAATCTTATCTCTAAGATATCTCCGCAAATCACGGTCCGCTCGAAAACCGAACTTCACGCTTCCATGTTTACCAATCAAAAAAATTCCGGTCGCTCAAGGTAGAGTTTTTAGGAGTAAATGCGCTCATTTAAACAAGTGACCTGGTGTGGAAACAACAAACCTAATCGGTCACCAACCTAGTTACATACATAATACATATGTAGCGCGGTGGGTATCACCTCACCAATGATATATATCATGTGACGAGATGTCGCTACATAACATATTATTTATCATAGGTAGGTAATGAGTATACCGGTGAAATAATTGTACTATTTATTATGCATTAGTACGTTTATTATATAGTTACACGGCTTATTAGTAACGCGTACATTCAACGCGGAGTCGTAACGTGGACTGATTTTACATTCGACTCAAATCTGTTATCTCGAGAGGTAAAAATTTATGGAAGGATCTCGAGTGTTGACAGAAATAACAGAAATATTACAAGTATACACGCACTGTAAAGAAAGCAAATAAATTATTGTAACTATCAATGTAACCTACACTAGTACATCGCCAGTGTACCGTCAGCACGTGCAACACAGCAATTCAATATTGATTTAAATTAAATAAATTAAAAACATCTGTTAAATCATATTACTCACTAAACTATTACTTGAATGAGGAGCTTGCAATAGTTGTTAATGCACAAGATTTTCATTTAATGTTAGACTATATAAATATACATTGTAAATAAACTGTTTTTTTTTTTTAAAAAGGAATTCTATTGAGTTTCTTACCAATTCTTCTCAATTGAATCTGTATATCGAAATGGATGTCAGGGAAAATATTGTAATATAAAAAAAATTACGTTTATATGCGGCTAAAATGTCCTTCCTACATGAAGAAATTATTTTTTAATTTGAATTTGAATTTAGAGACCTACATTGATACATTGCCAGTGTACCGTCAGCACAAGCAGCAATTCAATATTATAAAAAATAACTCACTTATTATTATTTAATGCAGCATCTTCTGTTTCATTTAATTCGGAATTCTCTAATATTTCCTCTTTCGTATTTTCACAATCTTTGGCTATCTCGTTCTCGTATTCATCCACGTCCTTAAGACTGGAATTCGACAGTCTCTGGTCCATCGCCAGCTGCTGTATGTACTGTTGATAATGCTGGTCCTGCAGCTGTCTGATCAGGATGGCCTGCTGGTCGAAATTGCCAGGAAACTGCTGTTGAGCGTATTGTAGAAATTGTTCGTACGTTTGAGCGTTGAGTGCGTCTTTTATTCTTTGCCTGGAAACGTAAAATTAGGTACATTCAAAAGAAAACTGCATAATTATATTATTAAGCAATGAAATGAGTGTTAACTGCTTGCTGTTATCATATGCATTATTGTTGAGTTGAGTTTCTTGTCAGTCCTTCTCAACTTGATATCATTCCGAACTGACAATAGATTTGACATATCATAAGACACTGTAATAGACTTACATGAATAAAGATATTTTGATTGATTGATTGATATATTCCTTATCACGATTCCTACCATCCAGTTTGGCAACTACTTCAGTTAAGAATAACTGGCAAGAAACTCAACATATATTTTTTTCTTATTATTATCTTTATTTGACTCTCAGACTTTGTATAAAGTCTTCCTAAAATTGCTATTATTCAACCCTTATCATTTTATCATTTATATTGTTGTACTTACACCTGTTGCTCCTCTGTTAATATATTATTCTGCTGTTTTTGTCTCTCTATAAGTATTCTGTTCTGCAACTCTTCATGAGCTCGTTCTTCCTCTAGTTTCTTCAGTCTGCAATAACATTATAAACTTTATCAAATTTTGCAAATACAAATAGAATGGTAAACGAGACTTGGCATACTCACATTTCGTTTAATGCTTGATGATAATGAATTTGATTTGTTATTAGTTTCATAGGAGAGAGTGTCACTTTCATTAATAATATAAATGATTCATTGTTTTTGTTAGAAATGTATAAAACACCTAATTGTCATTTCGAAACCGACACATATGGTGTAAAAATGTATTTTGATTTTAAATGTTTAATTTTGCACAAACCTAGTCTTGAAAATTAACAATGATAAAAACATAATTAACCAAATAGGTCTAGCCATTGTGAAGTGCATTTATATAAATTAGGCAATTAATTTTTGGGATTCGGAATAACAATGTTCACTTTTTTGTGAACAAATTAGAATGAGATCAACACAAAATATAATGGGAAGATTAATACAATATAATAGCGATAATAAAAATTGTAATTGTACTAATTTCCGATATTAGACTGCACAAAAACACAGAGATAAAAATTAAAAATCAAGTAAAGTTTATAATATATAATATATATACTTACTCCTGTTGTTTTATATTCTCTAAGTTCTTTTGTATAGCCTCAAAGTATGGTTTGAACAATGGGCATAATCTGTAAATGAAAAATATACATTATAAAACACCACAGATATAGTAAACTGACATGGTGGATTTAATCATGGCTACAGTATAAAAAAATAATTTCATTTTATATTTTCAATCATTTCAGATTTAGTCAGAAATAGAATTGAAACACACTCTTTCTTTCAGTAGTTTGGAACACATCTTTCAGCTGAAGTCAAAGTTATGGTAATATGCTATATCACTGGATATAGCATAGTGGCTTATTACCATCATTATATCATTTCCATCATGTTTTTTATCCCTTTTTTTGGTATCGGCATAGTATGTCTTCTTCCATTGATTCCTATTGGCCGTCATATTTCAGTATTCTGTACTATACTCAACATTCTATATTTGAAAAAGTTTATTTTTTTAATTATAATAAATGGGTTTATGCTTGGTCTTCCTCATCTGTTAGTAAATGATGGCAATAAAGGATAATAGGATGTAACATGCTTTCCCAGAAGAAATCTACTTACCAGGAGAGAATGTGGATTAACGACCCTTTGCTAGAAATGTACCCTGTCAGGTTGAACTGCATGCGGTTCCCCCTGGAAACCACTGTGATAAATTTCCTGTGAATTTATCATGATGTGCTAAGTGACCTGACTTCATGTTCATCCCATCATCCTCAACTGGTGCCCAATAAGTGCAGGCGGGTGGAATCATTCTATTATCATCCACTAAAAAATGTATTTACCTGTCTAAAGTATGAACAAAGCCAGCCATAGCTTGTATTTGTGACATTTGACCCAGTGCTTGCCAAGCTGCTCGTCTGTCTCTTCCTATCACATCCAGAACTCCCAGTGGAGGAGCTGAATTTGGATCTAAGGGTCCATGTGCAGCTTGCTGTGTGTAAGCCACTAGCTTTAACCTGTCCTCATAGCTTAAATGTAGAGCCTTTCCTTCCTTTTCTGAAATCATAATATGTTTTTTTTCATAATGATATCTCTCATTGGGGAGGGCTGGACAGGATTGTTATTAAAAGGGAAAGGTGGTCCCATTGCTAGGGATGTATAATATCAGATTGACCTTCATGTAGTGCCCTGAGAAAACCATCACAGTATTTTTGATGAATGAATGTGATACTATGCTAACTGACCAGCCTTGATGCTCAATCTATCATTCTTCACTGCACCCTGCCAGCATACATCATTAGGGCAGCTGAGTGCACTGTTCTATTAGCATTCTTTAAAAAGTCATTAATCATCAAGGCAATATCATTCCATTATAACCCATTAAAAGATAGAAATGCATAAAATACTAGATGGAAAATGGAAATTTCAACTAAAATAAGTCAAATTCACTATTCAAATGAGAGATTATTTGGAAAACAAAATAACTTTTGCTATAATTTAATCTATATATTAATTTTATCTTTCGAGATAATTATTTATATTTTTTTATCTTTGAGAAAGATAATTGAAGAAGAGAAATTCCAAATTTCTCTTCTTTAATTATAAAGTTATAACATTAATAACTATAGACACTAAATTTGTCTTTAATTTACTATAGAACTCAATATAAAATAAAAAAAGACAGACATATATATATATTTACACAGAGATATATTTTCTGATTGGAATAAAATTAGTCTATATATAATATAATTTAAGGTAAATTTTATTCCAATTGTTTGAGCAAAGATAGAAAGAAGAAAGAATACTGAAATGAATTACAGACTAAAACTGAAGTAAACAATGTAAAAACTTCTGCTTTCTGTGCCCAATAGGGTCCATAAATATAAAATAAAACTGACTAGTAACTTATTTAATAACTAATTTTTCAAATTGTTTCACTATAGTGAAAATAGCATTAGTAAAAATTTGCAAGAATATAGTAAGTTCCCCTCAAATTGAGAACTGGCAAAAGTACAAATGGCGCTTTTGCGATATAGGTAATTGATCCGGTACGTACGGAATTATTTATCGCGTCGATCAATCTAAACGATAATAGTAACGATCTATATTTCTACGGAACATTAGATACGATTTTAACGGATGTATGGTTGGCGTTCCATTTTTAAATTATATATAACACTTTCTAATATTCATTCGGAATATAGAAATATAGGAATCTGTTTTGTATATGTAATTGGGAGTCATCTCTTCTCATTTAAAAATTCGAATAAAAAAATTGGGCGTAACACGCAGTATCCAAACTTATATTTTAAACTTTATATCCGGAAAATGAGGTTTAATTGCAGCAGATATGTAATTCTATATAAATATTATAATAAAAGAACTTACCTTTGTAAAAGGAGAGGCCGTGTTTATACACTTCTTTTAATGGGAGGCCCCATTTTCTTTCTTCACTTTCCAAAATTCCTTGGTCTGTTTCTAGAGGAACTTTTTCCGCGTTAATTCTAGGGTTGTTTTCTTTTAATTGAGACATGATAATACTATTTTAATCCAAATAATTCAGTTAATAAAACTAAAAACTACAATACAAATTAGACAATTTTTAGCTGCTCCTGTTTGCTAGTTGTCAATATTCTCACTTTGACAGTCAGTGGACGTTGACGGACGGCAGTCGATGTGACACTAAAAATGTAATGTTGCTAGTCCCAGACGAATTTATTTCGCTGTGTTGCCATCTTTTAAGTTACCAGAGCAACGTAAATAAGTATAATTGTATGAAAAGAGCACTAATCAAGATACGTGCCAATTTTTCTTGCCTAAATCCTTATTCCGAATGTAGCGGTAGAATAAAAAAATAGTAGGTAATTAGTAGTAGGACAATAATTTATTTATGTATGGTAAACAATTACTTGATTTTCCTACCTATTACATTTTAATTTTGAAATAAAGGAATATAGTCCACAAGATTTCTAATAACAGAAATTAGACCACATTGCTAAGAACTTCACCATCAGGGCTATTTCTTGTGAATTCGCTACAATGCGCTGATTGGCAACTTACCCAATAAACTTCCACTAGTGCTCCGCCAACACCAGCGTATGTTATAGCAGTATTTAATATATATATGTACTTAATACATATATTTTATGTAAATAAATACTTTACGTCAAAAATAAACAAATATATATTACTATTTTTACGACAGAGGAATTCCAATTAATTTCTATAATATAAGCCAATGTAATCAAACACAAGTTTTATAGATTACGAAATATATTTTCTACATAGTTACAGTACGGTATAGTACATGTAATAAAATAATAATGTTATATTAACAATAATGTACAAAATAAGTTTATATCACACATTGTCACAAAAATAAAAACTAGCACCCTTACAAAAAAAAGTCATTTTAAAGTACATATAACACACAGAAAATATGAAATGAGGAAATACATTTGTTATTGAAACCGATTTTCAGATAATCTTATCTTCAGTTACTCTCTTTTAGTTACAAATATTAGCTGAATGGAGAAAACATTTTGTTTAGAATAGTATCGGATATGAAATAATTCATAGAAGTAACGATTCTTTCACACATCCACCTCTGTGGTACATTATATTGCATCTTATGAAAAAAAACCATATAGCACTATCAAACAAATACATGTATTAAATGCCACCAGTAAATAATTTATTATACATAATAAATAAAAGCTGCTTAAAGTCACTTCACATTTAAACGGAGTACATACTTTCATTACACAAGTAAAAAAACCAGGAAATATATACAATTACAGAAGCACCCTGAAGATAAAGTTATAATGGCGACCTAAAAAGTCCCCCTTTAGAATACTTAAATGGTGCAGTCTTAAAAGGATTCTAAAGATTATTATATTAGAATTCACAAAATCAAAATATTTTAGAAATAAGAGGAACTTCAAATGATTGCATGTACTATTTTGTTTATTCGTGTATAAATGCGTTCTCACATTATTAGGTTCAGTCTGACGATTGTCCAAAGCGAGTCGCTTTGGACAATCGTCAGTCGCGTTTCGATTGGCGCATTGATTGTTCGTCCCGCCCTCTTTGAAAAAGCGCCAATAGGAACGGGACCGAATGGAACAATCGTCCAACTATACCTAACAATGTATGATCGTACTAAGTATCAGTTTAGAATATTGAGAATCATCCTCAGTGGCCTTTTAAGAACCCTATATTACAGGTAACATGTGGAGGAAAATAAATATTTTGACAGTCAAATAATTTAAATTGATTTATGAATACAGCGACCAATAGTACCAATAAACAAAAATATCATATGTAAAAATCACAGAACACAAACTAATACAGTTATAACTTATAATTATTAAATTTGTAATTCTGATATCACATTTTTACTGCAACAGTAAAAATGAGCACTTATCTGCTAAAATACAGGGTGCAGTTCTGAATACTCTTGACTTGTTATGCCAAGAGATAGGTAAAATACTAATGTAACAATCACTTTCAACAAGAATGAGGTTTGAACTAAAATTCCGAATCATTCATACTGAATTCATAGACAACATAACCGCGACCACAGAGTATGAAGTTTAAAAAAAAAATCAATTTTCCATTTTACTTCTTGGGCAAATTTGTTCAGTTTTTACGACTTACCCTATATTAAGGTATGTATCTAATAAAATTAAAAAACCAAACCACCCCACTGGTTCCCTGTATGCAAATAAATAAAATATTCCGCACCCTTTGCAATATTGTTATTTTTTTAAGGCCAATAAAGATTTTCTATTCTGTAAAGGTTCAATAAGGGCTGAGGCAAAACCCAGGTAAAATACTCGTGAAACTGTAGCACTGAACTGAATGTTTTATACTAAATTGGTCATGGAATGGCTCGGTTTGAATGATGCTTCTAAAAAAATTATTCAAATTTCCACTTTATTTCTTTGTAACAAAGGTTCAGTTTCATGTGTATTTTATCTGTATTTCGGTATACTCTTTATAACTAACCCTGTATATAATTGCCATAGTTTTTTACCAATTTTTTGGTACATTTGGTAAATAAATATAACCAACAATAATTATAATATACGGAACATGCACACTGTAAATTCCGTCTATTAGATCAATTTACTTTGTAACAATTTATAAACGTATTTTGAATTGTATAAAGTAGTGGTATAATAAGATTATTTTACAGTCACCAAAGTAATATTATTATATACATAATTACAATTTCTGAACACAAATGGCTCTATACTGTTAATAGAAACAGCAAATTTGATAAGTTTTGTTCAAACATTCATCGTTGTTATTTTTCAGCACACTTGCTCGTAAATTGGATCTGATTTTACCGGTTTTCGATATATATGTAAAGCAGCTCATAAAATATGCGTGCGTTATGAACGCAAATAGTGAAGTTATATTAGATAACTGCACTATTTGCTATTTTTTAAATTTCGAACTGACCGTCACGCGGCGTTAGCCCGTAGGCAACACGCTGATTTAAAAAATTAAAACGGCGGGAAATCAACAGTGTGCATCACTATTTTATGGTTGAGTTTATTTAAAATCAAGTGTGTTGAAAAACATCGTGCGCTATACGTGCGTATTTAACACACTCGGTTCTATTACGCACTGGCCTTCGGTTTGGGCCGAATTCCGCCTCATGTGTTATAATCATCATAACGCGTTTATATCATAATATACTACATATTACGTAACTGCACTGGCAAACACGCTGGCAGCACATATGATGGTAAGTGAGAACCGTCACCTACATTTATAAATTGCTACGGACCTCACGTCATTCCTGAAGACTAAGGTGACATATCTGCAAACCCTGTAATTTCCCTGACATATTTCACCCTAAGCGTAACATAGCTTATAAGGCAAGCTGCTTGAATTGAATAGCTGAGACATTAAGTCAACAGCTTTGTCTACATTGGTAAAAAGTCATTTATGATAGAACATTACACATTTAAAGACAGCCAGATTAATTTGTGTGACTCACTGTTTTTATCAGTAATATTTATCTTATCTCTTTTCTCTTTCCCACGTATCATATATTGAAATAACGTCGTCTATGTCGACGTGACGTGACATTCGTACTTAGCGAAACTATCTATTCCTTTTAAATGCATTTTGGATTCTATATTCTGCACTTTGTCTCTCATTTTCTTTACTGTCTGTCATTATCTGATATTTTATTAATCAACAAATAGAAGGTATTTTTAAATATAATTAAGAGTAATCCACTGTAATTTGACATCGGCGGTGCGATATTCTATGACTGTCTATAATGTTTCTTCTTCATTTCGATAGCATTATATCTGTAATCTATATGGGAAAGAGAAGGAAGCATTATGTTGTCTCTAGCGCACACTGCTGGCGTCTTGCAGCCATTAAGCTGTAACTGGCGAGTGACTACAGTAATTTGTTTGAGAGCCGGTAATTAAGAAGACAAACATTATAATATCTATAGATCATAATAGTCTATATGGTTGGCTTTAGTATCAAAATAAATTAGCAGCCCAAGTGTCCCAATAATAGTATAGAAGAACAAGTAGTTCATTGTACCTCCCTAATTTACCACCATTCTGCATGCCTTATGCCATTACAAATTGGCACAGCATGTTGCATGTTTTGTCTTTCATTCTGATCTTTCTTCAATCATCTCACTCACCACAAACATTCACATGTTCCTTCACATGATCCATTCTCTTTTCCAAATCATTAATTTGGACTTTAACCCACAGACCTCACTGCCAATTCACATGCATCCACTGATATTTTACTCACAATTTGGTGGTGGTATTCATTTCTAAGGTCTCAAAACAAGCATGCTTACTAGTCCGAGTACAAAGGAGAATACGAGTTTGAGGTTTGAACCAATGTGAAGCCACTCCGGCCATTGTGACTTGGTTTGCTGTTCAGGTTGTGTTGGCAAGAGTAGCGCTACTATACAACATATGCTCACTGCGACAGCTACCACATTGATTTGCTGCTGTTCTCTGAAATAACAATGTATAAACTTAATAAGAAAAGTATATCAGATGAGTTTTATGGTTTCCTAAAAAGTTACGATATACTATTATACTAAACTCTTTTAAAAAAATAAATAAAAAAAAGCTATACAGAAGCTATATATAATAAAAGCTTAAAAAAAAAAGCTATACAATACAGACTAGAGATACAATCCATACTAAGTGATTTTATTTTAAAATATAGTAATAATTTCAACCCTCCATACAACACAGCAGTTTATATCTACACTATGCTACCCATATATACAAATAATGTAATGTTATTGAAAGAGATTGACTAAGACTGCTAGCCTGATTATGGCTCGAAGACATATGGTACAAAAATATTACAATAAAAAAATAGTTATAGGTACTACATGAACAATTAATATCTTTTTATTTTTAATTATTTTTCTATTAATATCTTAAATACACTCTCCAATCAAAACACAATTTACAAAGCAGCTTTGTGGCTGACATAATTGAGAAAAAGTTACTGATTCAGATATGATACAGGTACTGATAATACAGACTTTGTAGAAAGTCCTACCTTTGGTAAAGTAAATGAGAAAATTATGTAAGCATATTAGTATTGACACATTTTATCTAACTTAGGTCAATAGTATGCCTTTTTCCATTACTGCCCTTCAACCGTTTTCTGTTTTTACCCAATGGTTAGCTGGTAGAGACTGCCATATGGCATTAAACTCACCAATTGTACATTATTATTAGATGTGCAATAAAGGATATGGGACACAGTTACCTAGATACATCAATATAATAATTGCAATGAATTATGGCTATTAAGACAAACTCAATATTGTCTACTAAGCTTTGCCGTGTCTAAACTGTCTCACCCCATCTTACATTTTCCTATTGTTATTTAGTATACATTATATTTTCATATTGTCAGTCTATTATCATCTATAATATATATTGTCTCAACCAACAACATCTTATTATTACCCCATAACAATGGATAAATAAATAAAATAATAAAGTTCAAATATAAAATCTATTTTACCTGTGATGTGAAGGATGATGACAAGTCACCCTTAACTGTTCCTCCACAGGTCTAACGGGAGCTGCTCTAACTGCCAGCGGATGGAAATTATCACCTAAGCTTTCTGTATTTGTGTTTAATGGTTCCCCTTCAATTAGCTTTGTAGGAATGTCTCTTTTGCCCAGGGCCTGGAAACAAAGTTTTAAATGTTCAAAAAAAAGTATTGGAATGTACAATATAAATTATAGTAATATTATTATTATTCTTTTTGCTAATTGACAATCTGTTTTTTATACAATAGTCCAGTCTGATGGCTCTCAAATATTAACATTATAAAGAGAAAAGATTTCATTGTTTATTTGATTGTATTGAATAGGCTACCTGACCGATTTGAAAAATTCATTTACCATTTGAATATACATACATGAAAAAATACCAATAAAATTCTTATTGCATACGCTGGATTCAATACAGAATTAAATCATTGGAAGCACAGAAATATTTTAGTGATCTATTATAGAAATATTTTAGAAATATTTAGTGACTATCTTTGTTGTTTTTAAAGTCACATATACCAATTGAAATAGAAAATTGTATTTATTTAAATTAGACTATAAAATAAAAAGGCTATAACTTAAATTAGGCTCACTAGGCATCAAAATTGTTTTTTTATCAACACTGGTTAAAAACCTCTGCTCTGTATTTATTTACAAAGACAATATTTTAATTCACTTAATATTTTAATTTAATTATTATTTGTTTCAATATTCAGTTTCAGACACTACTTCTATGCAAGAACTTGATTTTTATTTAATTTACCTGCTGGGTGTTTCTGTCGTACATAGTTATTCTGAATTTCTCTATTGTGTCACAATGCGTAACAGATGGTTGAGTGTATCGTACCACGATGTCTATGCAACTTTGTGAAGCGATCACTCCCTCTGGATCTATCACTGTGAACTTGTTTGGCGAAGTACATAGTACTGGAAAAGCAATAAAAGACTTAAAGTATGTTATCTTCAATTATTATTGCGTCTAAAATATTTAAAGACCCAATAACTTACCTTTAAAATTTACAGAAAAATCATATGGATTATACACTGTCAATAATTGCTTGTGAGTATGTCTTGCATTTAAATAAAACTCAAGGGAGACGGGAAATACGAACACTGGAAAATTTTTCATTTTGTAACGATGAAACTAATTATATATGACGAAATTGTTTTTTATTATCACAAATACAAAAGAATGCGACTTCGATACACAACAAAAAACTAATGACAATACTGTCAGGTCTGTCAGTGTCAGCTGTCAATATTTACTATCAAATTTCGTTATTGTCAGCTGCCAACATCGTTTTGGTTTATTTTTAATTATGAAGGAAAATATTCACTATGTCTATAATTTAATTCATGTAAGACAGCTATACATTTTAGACAAATATTAAATAACACTATTGATGCTGCTGTTTGGTGCTTAAGAAATAGCCAAAACGGTTTTAGAAAAATAATATTTAATAATAAGATTATGTACTTTATTTATTTACCATCGTAAATACAGTAATAATTTTGTTGATAATATTATTATGATATGCTTATTTTGATCACTTCTTGTGGTTAATAAGTAAAATCTTGCTTGGCATCAAAGGCACCAGTCGTACTTATTGGTCTCTATTTACAAATGAGATTGTTATTATTAGGAAACAGGCTTGAGAATTTATATTATTAGTAGACTACAAAAACTATATAGAGATGCTACGTACACTAAGTAGTTGTATAACTGTAAAGGCATGTAGGCTTCTATTCTATCATACGGATCTAAATCAACCCTCTTTAAAAATACAAAGCTAAATAGTTTTGGAAATAAACATAGACATTATTATAAATAGTCTTTATTAAATTAATTAAACTAAAGGCGAAATTATTGTTAAATGGAGGTTAACAATGCTGATTAGTATGGGTACAACATAGCGACAGCCGGGTCTTCTGTCTCGAAGGTGATGAGGACATCTTTGAACTTGTCGAGAAGCTGCATCAGCTGGGAGCGACTAACATTTTCCATGAACATTATCTCTTCCAGATGCTGTTCGCCGCGGAAGTAACCTACAGTTAATAATATAGCTTGGTATATTTCGTTTGTTATGTAAATTAGGTATATATATATAATTTAAGTAGCTAGCCTAACAGGGCGGTAGTAATACTACTTACCGGTAGTAGGGATAGTGATAAAAAAAAGACGTGCCGAAAAGTCTAATGTTACTAAATAATTTTGAGTTTGAGTACAAATACAATTTTTTGTATTGAGCGAGGAATCGAACTTGCGAAGTAAGACATGTTATAGCTGTATAAGTATTAACATAAAATTTTATATAATGATTTCTTCTAAATAAATTAATAGACCAATAAAAACATCTTACTAATATTATAAAGGCGAAAGCTTGTGAGTATGGACTACTCTTTCACGCAAATAATACGTAACGGAGTTTGATGAAATTTTACAGTAATATAGCTGATACATCAGAATGTCACATAGGCTATAATTGAAAAAGATATTACGTAAATTGGGTGAAGTATAATGATAAATGGCAAGTAAATTTTATACAGATGAAATTGTGTGGGTCAGCTAGTAAACAATATATTAAAACCGTGCAGTATTATTGTTACATTACCTTTTTTATGCAGCTGAGCTAAGAGCAGTAGATCGTCGGGGTTCTTGGAGGCGGGCACTGCGGCCAGCGCGGCGCGCTCCTCCGCCGAGAACGTGAGCAGCAGCGCCTCCGCCTCGGGCTCGGCCTCCACCGCCGGCCCGGCGCCCGCCATCATCATCTCCGGCTCCGATTCGGCGGCCTCGCAGTTCGCAGGCATAGTCCACACGGTTGGCTGCTGGAAGCTACACCCCACAAATAGTCTATTAAGATTATCTTTAACTCATACTATGCACATGTCTTGGATTATAATGGACCCAAGCACGGTACTTATAAACTAGTAGGAGTAAAGAAATTACAACTTCCACATGTAAAAGGTCTGCGGGGGTACTGTTACAGTTTGACAATCACAGTTCTGAAATAGCCATGTTAGCTTTCCGTATTAATAAGACAATACCAATTCATACATTCCTTTCCAATTACACTCGTTTTCGGCTAAGATACAAGGGGGTACTGATCCTCACCTAAATCGCGCTTTTCTACTTAACATTGAGATAATTGTTTTATTTTTAAAACTGTCTTTTGATCCACTCTGTAACAGTACCTCAGTCACGCCAATTTCAGATGCCAAATAGATTTCTAATCTGTGTTTTGACTGATGTTAATCTATATTTGTATTCCGTAATTTCACTGTCATCTCAACACAAGAAAAAGAAATCACAGGATTTCTATTTATATTATATATACGAAGATATATTTCCTAATTCCATAAAGTCTTACCTCATTTCACTTTGCAGTTTCAAATTAAGTGATATGCCATTTTTCTTATCGCCATTCACGAATCCGTTGCCTTTCTTCTGTCGCGGTGAAATATCTTGACCATTCTCATACTTCTCATTATCTATACTCGCATTTAAACATATATCGTTTTCTTTCAGTGACAAATCTGTTATTAATGCTTTCAATTTTTCTTCAGACTTCTCCGATATACCATTTACATGTTCAGTGTTACCGTTCACACCATTAGTGCTATTTATATTACTTGATATACCACTATCTACTGAGTTTGCTTGATTTTTCTTCTTTTCTTTATTATCATAGTTATTTACACAATTCGTTTTCGTTGGTCCATCCACTACATCTATGCCTTCATCGAATGAATGGTTCGCTGAATCAACTTCATTGAAATTATCATATTTCGTATGATCTGATTCAATCACTATAGGTTTCGTATGAGAAAAGTCTGTCTGATTCAGGTTATTCTCAGTAGGGTAGTCTTCGTCGGAATCTGGGAATATGTTGACGTTATCCCTAACTTCCACCGGTTCGGGAACATTCAGTTGCATTTGATTGAGTGATGAGAATGACACGCTGCAGGATTGATTGTAAATGTCGTGTTTCTCGCAGTAATATTCATTGCCGTCTGAAAAGAAAAATATTATAAGCTACTTGAACCTACGATCGTGTACTTCTGTTTGTTTGTATCCGAAATATTTAATTATAACTTAAAGTTAAGCCGTATTTGGGATTAACGTGCATACAAATTCACAGATTAAAAGTTCTATCAATCACCATTTTCAGCTCCAGTATGTTGATAAAGTCTTCAATAATATATCTTTGTGAATGTTCTCGGGACATTGTTAAATTCACTGCCGCTTTTAATTTAATTCTGGTAGCAGGCGGCGCCGCAGCAGCCAGCCGCCACTGTGTCACCTGGTGCCTGGTACCTGGGTGTCGCGGGCAGTGCCAGGCGGGCGAGTTGAGCTGCACGTAGGTATGGAGCTGCAGCAGCAGGCGGCGCCGCAGCAGCCAGCCGCCACTGTGTCACCTGGTGCCTGGTACCTGGGTGTCGCGGGCAGTGCCAGGCGGGCGAGTTGAGCTGCACGTAGGTCTGCAGCTGCAGCAGCAGGCGGCGCCGCAGCAGCCAGCCGCCACTGTGTCACCTGGTGCCTGGTACCTGGGTGTCGCGGGCAGTGCCAGGCGGGCGAGTTGAGCTGCACGTAGGTGTGCAGCTGCAGCAGCAGGCGGCGCCGCAGCAGCAGGCGGCGCCGCAGCAGCCAGCCGCCACTGTGTCACCTGGTGCCTGGTACCTGGGTGTCGCGGGCAGTGCCAGGCGGGGGCGAGTTGAGCTGCACGTAGGTATGCAGCTGCAGCAGCAGGCGGCGCCGCAGCAGCCAGCCGCCACTGTGTCACCTGGTGCCTGGTACCTGGGTGTCGCGGGCAGTGCCAGGCGGGCGAGTTGAGCTGCACGTAGGTGTGCAGCTGCAGCAGCAGGCGGCGCCGCAGCAGCAGGCGGCGCCGCAGCAGCCAGCCGCCACTGTGTCACCTGGTGCCTGGTACCTGGGTGTCGCGGGCAGTGCCAGGCGGGCGAGTTGAGCTGCACATAGGTGTGCAGCTGCAGCAGCAGGCGGCGCCGCAGCAGCCAGCCGCCACTGTGTCACCTGGTGCCTGGTACCTGGGTGTCGCGGGCAGTGCCAGGCGGGCGAGTTGAGCTGCACGTAGGTGCAGCTGCAGCAGCAGGCGGCGCCGCAGCAGCCAGCCGCCACTGTGTCACCTGGTGCCTGGTACCTGGGTGTCGCGGGCAGTGCCAGGCGGGCGAGTTGAGCTGCACGTAGGTATGCAGCTGCAGCAGCAGGCGGCGCCGCAGCAGCCAGCCGCCACTGTGTCACCTGGTGCCTGGTACCTGGGTGTCGCGGGCAGTGCCAGGCGGGCGAGTTGAGCTGCACGTAGGTGTGCAGCTGCAGCAGCAGGCGGCGCCGCAGCAGCCAGCCGCCACTGTGTCACCTGGTGCCTGGTACCTGGGTGTCGCGGGCAGTGCCAGGCGGGCGAGTTGAGCTGCACGTAGGTGTGCAGCTGCAGCAGCAGGCGGCGCCGCAGCAGCCAGCCGCCACTGTGTCACCTGGTGCCTGGTACCTGGGTGTCGCGGGCAGTGCCAGGCGGGCGAGTTGAGCTGCACATAGGTGTGCAGCTGCAGCAGCAGGCGGCGCCGCAGCAGCCAGCCGCCACTGTGTCACCTGGTGCCTGGTACCTGGGTGTCGCGGGCAGTGCCAGGCGGGCGAGTTGAGCTGCACGTAGGTATGGAGCTGCAGCAGCAGGCGGCGCCGCAGCAGCCAGCCGCCACTGTGTCACCTGGTGCCTGGTACCTGGGTGTCGCGGGCAGTGCCAGGCGGGCGAGTTGAGCTGCACATAGGTGTGCAGCTGCAGCAGCAGGCGGCGCCGCAGCAGCCAGCCCACGCAGCGCGCCAGCCGCCCGCCGCCCGCTCCTCGCCGCACGTACCACAGCGGTGCTGGCAGCGAGAACTCGCCCAGCATCTGCACACACGCCTGCTCGTTATACTCCACTAGGGATGTTACGGAGCGACTTCGGTTCCGATAAGACGGAACATCCGATTATTTTTACACAGACTTCGGTTCTTTAAATTTGGATTTGAAGTACAAATCCAAAATCTAAAAACTCCGACTTCGATTTCGATAAAACACCCATCACTATACTCCATGGGCATATGTAAGTAAGTCTGTTTCTAATTGCATTTCGGTCGTCCACGAGGCCTTGTAGGCCGCTGGGTACAAGCATACTAGTGCGGAAAACCAGCCTTGCGTCTTTTCTTTAAAAAAAAAACTATAATAATCCAGTCGCCCGAGAGTTGTTGTCCTCGGATTAGCCACCAAGCAAGTTGCTTCGTAATCTGAGTTTCGGTTGTAGGGTGCGATTAAGCAGTGAAATTACTGTATAGGAAGCCTGACGTCTAAGTCTCTGAAATAGCGCGTACGCTTTGGATAGTGTCTACATGTAATATGATAACGTTTTCCTCGTAGTGATGTTCATCTAAATAGAGGAAAGTCACCATTTACCATAAAGTAAAAATAATACTTTGTTACAAGTGTACAATCATACAAAACCATGATGCAGTGTTTTTACTAATACGACATGTAGATAGATATACCATACTTAATATATACAAAATGCAATTATTATTTTGATGTATCTAGGTAACTGTGTCCCATAGTGATACTTGATAAAAAACAAAAACATGTCAAAATAGTGAACTACAAATATTACAAATATTACATTACTATAAAATATACAGACCACTATCGTATGCTAAATACATGAGATAAAATCGCACCTGTAACAAACAGAGTCCTGGAAACTCCTTCGCGAACTCGTAGACTATTGGCGAGTTTATATGTATGTTTGCGCCGGGGGCTACCACGTACACGTTACCCTCGCACAGCGGGTAGATCACAGTCGCCTTCGCCCAGTACACGAGGTGACCGGTCAACTGAAACGCCTGTTGATACAATCAATAGCTGCCTTATTATATTTACTAAAGTACACATAAACCTTGTTTCTGTGTGAAAACCTGTACCTAAGTGACTTCTCTGTTTTAATAATATATATTAATTACCATTATTTAATAGCCTTGATTTTTCATATAAAATAAATTAATAAATATGTACAAGTTAACATACCTGAGTGAGAGTCAGGTCTGCCTCGATTGCCAATGTTTGTAGGCTTTTGAGCGGACTGTAAAGCTTTATGAGACGTATCAAAGCTGGACTGCTGTCCAGAGGTATTGAAGCGAGTAACTCGTTTGGATCCACCTGTAATTATAAAGACCTAGATATATATTTATTTTTTCGTAAATAGATACATATTATATATAGAAAACACCCAGGCCGATAAACAATCATAGTCATGAATACAAATGTTTGTGCCGTGCGAGGAATCGAACTCGCGACCATCGGAAGTAAGGCAGTGTGTTAAACCACCAGATCAATGAGGCCATCAATTAATTAATTTACTTGCAAACTCTTTTACATGTTCACATTGAAAACAAATTGCATATAAAAAAAAACATTACCATTGATTCCTACATTATCCTGGGCCTGTCCTGCAGGAATCAGTATAAGAATGTTCATTTACATAAGTCTATATTATTGAAAATCTCTTCCTGTAATAAATAAATAAATAATATATAAATTGAATCAGCAGTTAGCTTACCATTAAAAGTATTCCATGGTACGGTCGTAGTTTCTGTAAACACTTGTCTATTGTCTCTGGTTCAATGATCAATCCCTTGTTGTGTATCTGGTGCGCTTTGTGAGGCAGGCAGAATGATAATAGCACCCATTTATTAATCCGCACTTGAACTATACCTAGAATAGAATAGAACAGAATATGATAAAATCGAATTTCTTGACTCCTATACAACAATAAAGGCATAAAAAAATAAAAAACAATTTAGAATAGAATAGGATTACTCTCGGATTGGAAATAATATTAAGAATTATTAGATTTAATTCTGAAGACAGAGCCCTTTTATATTAGGCTAACTTTATTAGGGTTAATCCGGAAGGGCCGTGTCGAAAATGCCATTTGATTGGCGCATTTTCAAAGTGGGCGGGACATAGCAACCAATGCGCCAATCAATTGGCGTCACCAATACGGTTCGTTTGACATTACCGAAAATGTGAGGCCTACATTATTTAAAATAAAAAGTCGTATTTTAATTATTTATTACTGATTTATTCTTTCTTTTCATTTACTTTCATGATTTGAGGGAAAGTGTTAGTATACACTTACAATGGATTTTGTAAAAACAATTTACCGAATTTTACCTTATAAACAAATAAAGGTACGAAGTATTTTATTTAAACTGTAAATATGACTGACATATTTATTAAAATTAAAGATCATTTACTATAAATGTGAATTTGTAACATATGGACTATGTATACATATAAATTCCTAGTCCATTACAATTTCCTGACTTCATCCTCATGTATCAAGGCAAGAGCGTAAGAGAGTGTGTGATTTAATCATCAATTTTCATATTTGCTTCAATGTCACTTATATATATTTAATTTTTATGATAATTTCTACATACCAGTACTACTAAGTTCCTCGAATACAGACTTCATAGATCTTGCTAGCGAGCTCCTCTGTAGTATCAAGTGAAATGCTGACTTTGGAGTACCATCTGATACGTTTTCAATGCCGTATGTCGTTGAAGAAACTGAATGCCGAGAGTTTTCCTCTTCGTCGTCATTTTCCCCGGAATTTACTTCACTATCTAACGCCGAAACTTCATCGTGGGCGGTTAACTGTAATAGTATTTTTTATAATTGGAAGGAACAGTACAGAGAAATGGTAGAGATCTTAACCCAGTAGTGGGACAACAAAAAACAGCCGAATTTTTTAATTTTTTTTTTAACAATTGCAGGGAACCGTGGATAGAAATGGTAATAGAATAGAATAGAAAATAAAATAAACGGCTTGACCGATTTTTATGAAATTTTATATGCATATTCAGTAGGTCTGAGAATCGGCTACTATCTATTTTTCATACCCCTTAAGTGAAGGGTAGTACACCCCTAAAATAATTTTTTGGACAAAACTTTTTATTTATATTTTTTTGGATGTATCATTAAAAAATACATACAACACCAAACTGACACCCTTCTAGCATCATTTTACCTGATTTTAAGACAAAACAACGTTTGCCGGGACAGCTAGTAATAAATATAATCCAGAGATTCACACAGCGCCATCTAGTCTCTAGCTAGCAAGTACCTATAACCCAAGCTCTGCTTAGCTTGGGACTAGACTAGACCGTGTGAATTGTCCTGATATATTATTGTTATAAAAGACTATAGCTACACTATAATTAATAAAAAAAAATACATAAGTGATACAGAGCGATGTGTAGACACATAGGTCAGCACCTCTAAGGATGTAATTAAATTCTTAATATTACATTAATTTAGTTATCATAATAAATTACCATTATTTTCATTTCTTCAGTCAGATATGAACACCGTTTTTCCTCATGCCTTAGTGCTTTACCCAGTCTTTTGCTCAAATCATAGTAACACTTAACTGGAAAGAAAAAATAATTAATTATATTTCACCTCTGTTCCATTATTATTTATTTAACTTATAATCTGTAAAAGTTTTTCAAATTCCAATTCATAATGTCTTTATTCATGTAAGTCTATTACAGACTCTTATGATATGTCAAATCTACCGTCATTTCGGAATGATTTCGAGATGAGAAGAACAAACAAGAAACTCGGCTCATATTCTTTTCAAATAAATGTTGTTACATGTTTACATTTATACAGAATCATTTAAATTCAAATTTGGGAGAATAGAGTGACCACCAGCACATGCTATTACAAAATCAAACTGTCCAATCAAATAATATTATGTGGACAGAGTCGCAGGTAACAGCTGGTATGTAATATAATTGAAAGTAATTAAATAAAAAAATATATGTAAAGAAATCAATAACAAAATATAATAAAACATAAATAATAGATAACTGCATAAAATACACATACAATTATATTTAGATACACATTAATAATAAAATGAAGTAATAATAATAAGGATGTGGATGCAAAAGAAAATAATGTATTGATAAAGGTTTAATGAGGCAATAAATATGTACCGACATACATTTTTGATATGGTTATCTTAATTATTTCTTATTAATCAGAAATGTTCTTATTAATCATTCATTAAGGTCTTATTAATCACTAATTCTCATCATCAGATACCTAAGACATTGTTCTTAGTTTTTATAGTGATGGTGGTAATGATGATGAAATATCGCCAATCACCAAATATCATTCTTACAATTCAAGACATGTTAAAACTAGGCTAAATAAATAAATATTCATGGCCCTGTTCATATACATATAGGTGAAGCTTGCCCCATTCCATCAGGTGGGTCATTTTCAAATAATTTATTCCGATTTGACCTCTCAGTCTCCTGTGCATATCATATTTTCCATCGCTACACCATTTAGTTTGGCTAGCTACTTCAGTTGAGAAAAATTTGTTTCAATATGAATCATATTGTTATTTACACAGAAGAACTATATTCAGGTAGAAAAAAATATGAATACAAAAAACTTGACTTTCATAAGCAGCTAAGATGTCCTACATGAATAAATTATTTTTGATTTGATTTGATTAAGTATTCTATATATAATTGATTTTTTTGATAAAAAGCTATTATAGTGAGTGTGTCAATAAAAAACAATGACACCCAATTTTTGTTCAGTGTTCAAAAAAGGAGTGTTGTACACTCCTTTTTATATTTTTATTATTTTCTTTTAGTCACTTTAAGGTTTTTCATTCCAAAAAAAATCTAAATGCACTCACCTATAGAATGACTTGCAGAGGCCTGCAGAGCAAACACAATATTAATAAGTATCATTGCAGCGGTGTCATCTTTGTTAGTCCGGTATGGTAACAGTGTAGGGTGTCCTACAAACCGAACATCATTCACTTTGAGCTCAAATTTCCTGTTACACAACTCGGGTTTAACAGCAAACAGTGTTGAGAGCATCTCATCTGTGAATCCGCTTAGCTGACCTGCAAAATTGATAATAATGATTTCAAAATTATATATAATTTGGGTGCATTCATTTGTTATTCATTCATAGTCAATCATAAAGTTTATTTTTCTTTAATCTATCTGCAAACAATCCCATATTATAAATACTTCCATAATAATTGTAGCTAGAAAGCTATAATTATTTAAATATCTTAATTGTATAATATTAATTCATATGTATGTTAGTCTATGAAGTATTTATAATATGGGCCTAGCAGCCGAAATAAAGAAACAAATAATTAGTTTAGTTCCCTAAGCCTAGCTATAAATATATTATATAAACTTCCATTGAAGCATTTGAATATGTAACAGAGAAGTATGGTTTCATATATTTGTCTCAAATAAGGCAAGGAAGCATGACAAAATATTTTTACAGTTACATATTACAATGGAAACAACAATATATTCAATTTAAATTACAATAATTAGTAATAATATTAAATAATATAGATAATAAGGATTGTTTTTGAATAATAATAATAATAGCACATTATTCTATAAAATCCATATTATATATTAATAAATTATTAAAATTATATTTAAATTTTAATAAATTATATTATCTATAATAACAACATCTCTCATTTATCAACCAATCCAATTATAGTTTACTTATTGATTGTGATTACACAAGGAACAAAAACAAAATCTATAATAAGTAATAATAAATTATTTGTTGTGTAAGTTTTTATACTATACATAATTATCATAGTTAGCTAGTTAGTTATAATACTGTATATAATTTGCGTTTCCTTAGGTATATACAGCATGTATTGGTATAAGAATAATAAATCAGTATCATTTATATTAATACTTAATACATTAATGATTACCAATGAGATTAGAACTAACTACATGGTGTAGTTAGTTCCAACCTCATTGTTTCCAACTTCATTCATTATACCATAGGTGCTAAACAACTGATAAAAATACATTGATGTATTTTTTCTAAATATAAACATTATATGTATATATAATATACTCTGCCACCAATACAGAAATCTTATATTGTTAACATGTTAAAGACTGCATGCCCACTAGTGGGCCACTCCGCAACGAAAGTAAATTTATATGTTGAGACCAGATGATCACCCATGGGCACTTTAATTTAAATAAATCTAGGGGTTAAGTAATGTCTACCTCTAATTAGTGTAAGCTAAACATACATACAAAATTTTACAAAATTACAAAATAATAGACGTAATATTTCTTGTTTTAAAATTTAAACCAGTATAACTGGAAGTAAGGTAATCTAATAATTGACTAGACCACTGTCTCTGTCAGTTATTGTTACTTAGTATTATGAACTTTATATAATGTATAACATTGTTAATATTTGCTAGAAAACTCAATATTGAAACCATGTACTTTTCAAGGAACAATGTTGACCTTTTTTATGTCTATAGGCAGGGTCTGATCTACCTAAGGGCTTTTTGGGCTGCAGCCCAGGGCCCTGAGAATACAAAGGGCACCCAGTCCCACTGAAACAATGTTGACTATTTTACATGTCTACAGATGACAATTGTGGCAATTGTCATCTGTAGACATGTAAAATAGTAGTTTAAATCTTATAGCCACTGGTTTATTTTTTAGATATATACAGGTAAAGAGCACTGCACCTACCTTTACAAATATTTGATGTTTGCGATTGAGGATTCTGTAAAAGATCTTCTGTGGAATTGATCGCGTAAGGATTATGACGACCACATTGTTTTTGTGTACTTTCATCCTTATTTTCTGTTGTGTAAGGATATCTGAACAACAACCTGTCTCCTTTGCTGTCTGACTTCACAAAAAATATATTCAAAGGATTAACTTCCATGACTGCAAACATATGCTACGTAATAAATAAATCACTTTATGTTAACGACACGAGATACTTCAACCAAGATTTGGTGTCAGGGACCTTATTAATGTTACAAAACATTATACTATTTAAAATTAACTGAATGGCCCTAAAATTAGACCAAAACACTATATTTTTGACTAAAATATTGATAATTCTATGAACTGAATAAATACATTAATTTTTTTTTGTTTCGATTAAGTGGTAGAAAATTACAAAATATTTTTATCGTTTTGACACCGTGAATGACGTCTTAATGACTGTAAAATTACTCATGTCACGTATACTCCTGTCAACTTAACACAGTTGTGTATAGAGAAATAGTATTCATATACGTATATCGAAGTAATCTATGACATACTTTGATATTTACATGTATTCTTCATCGAAGTATTTTCAATTTAAAGATATTACACAAGTTTTGTCTTCATTTCACTCTTGGATTGGAATTGGAATTTAGATGGAAATCTTATGAATAATTTAAACATGTAAATTCTTGTGAATGTTTCGTCTTGTGCAGTCTAATTTATGCTCGGTTTTAATTTTGTGGTTTGATCTAAAGTGTATTGGATTAGTTTTTATTTATATGTGTATTAATTATAATAATCCGTTACACATAAAAATATAACAGTGATGGGCACCGAAGTACTGAGCCGGCAATTTGATAATTGTGCCCTAAACAATATGCAAGAGGTAAGGAACTACAATCTTTTAAGGTTATTTTCATTAATTATGATTATTATGATTATGATTATTAACTTTTTAAAGCTTTATTTTTCTTTCATAATGGTCTATAACTTGCCAATGAGGCTATCCACCGAAACTCAAAATAAAAATATTAATTACTTATACCTATATATTCAAATTAATTTAATAAAAGCTTGGGTGTTATTTTCAATTAAAAATAGCATTTTCTGATTGTATTTGTGTATTCAGAATACTGAGGGTATTCTGAAACCTTAACTCCTTCCCCATAAACGGTTGAGGGTGAGTAATGTGTACTTATAACCCCTATGAGTAATGATAAATGATGATAATTTCCTTGTGATTTTGCTTTGATCGGCTAATTGTTTTGATCTCATGTTAATCCTATAATCCTCCACCGATACCCAAGGGGGTATCGGTGGATTGAGGATATGGAGGATTATAGGATTAACTATAATTTAATGTTTAGGTAAATGTTCCTCCATTATCAGCCATAAAAAAATGCAAATGATGTCTATTATTATATGTCTATAATTAATTTGCATGTAACTATATTGCAATTATCTTTACACTGTTAATCTTTCTTAATTAAAAATAAAATAATGAATAATATTTATTTTCAAAATAACAGTTTCCATAAGACACAACATTGCATATTTAAATATAGTGTAGCTTGTATTGGAGGAGGCACACTGTAAGGTTAGAGCTTTAAAGGGCTTACAATATTAGACACAATAATGGTTTTTTTCTCATTTATTAATATCCAATAATCAGTCATAGCAGGACAATATGTAGATGCTATGTTGAATGTAAATTTGGTAGGCTCTTAATATCCGACTACCTTTATTGTGATACTCATTTGTACTATTCTATGCCTTATGACTTAATGTTTATATCATTTTCTAGCTGTTGTGCTAATTCATTGGGATGGTTTTTTTTATTGTATGTATATTCTTAATCCTAAATAGGGTTGGTAATGATAATAGGATTAATGAATTCAACCATACACATGAACACAGTAGGGGAAGTACAACTTGGTTACTATTAGTACATAAAAAGAATAAAGTACATAATAATAACATTTCTGACTATTAAACATTTTTTTATTAAGTTTTTAACTTATATAAAATAATTTAAACTTTTAGTTGGAAATTTTGCGCTAATTATATGAAGATAAAAATTATATGTATATGTATTTTGCAGACAGAGATCAATATAGAGAATATGGAAACCGACACGGCTGAGTCTGCCGCAGCTCTACATGAGCGTCTCGTCGCATACGTGCACGCACTCGCCGGAGGCCCAGTAGGTTATACCAATGAAACTTATAGAATTTTATAATAGGAATGTAGAACTTAAAAAGAATTACGATTGCACAGGAGAGTCGGTCGGAGGTGTGGGTGGAGCATTCGTATGCGCGCGCACGGTCGGGTAGTACGGCCGGTGGGGAAGCGCGCGAGCTGCTGGCGCCACGGCCACCACGCGACTGCGAGCTGGACGTGGAGAGACTCTCGCCACCGCCGCCCGCGCCACTGGAGCCCGAGATCGATGACTACGGCGGAGACTCGGACGATGACGACTGGGAATCGCGCATGGCGGCCATCGCGCCGGGACCTGCGCATGCGCGTCTCGTCGCCGCCGCTGCCGACGCGCTGCGTGACATGCGGCTGGCTCGCCTCGCGGGCTGCGGCGCGGGAGCCGCACGTGACGCGGCGCGGCGGATGCGGCTGGCGCTTGCTCCGTTGTGGGTGTGGCCGGGCCCGCCGCAGCAGCGTCCACCCGCGTGGCTGCACGCCGTACTGCTAGCGTACTTACCGCCCGCGCGCCGCCGTGATTACGACGACATTATCGCGCAACTGCGCTACCTGGTGCCGCGGCTCTCAGAGAGGTTGCTGCTGGGCCGCGTACCGCCGCCAGCGGTGGATCCCCTCGCGGTAGTCGGTAAGTACTACCCGTTACGTGATAAATATTAGCTGTCTTTACACGTATACGAAGTCCATGCTTTTACTCAGGAAAGAATGTGTATGTGACAAAGAGAACGAGAAAGATCGGGTGCGCGTGAATGAATGTGTCGTGTAAAGGTAGCAAATAGATATGTGATCTTATCGATGACTTGACAGAGAAGTAAGAATTATCGAGACCAATTTTTATAGAAGGTGAATTAACTCCTATTTCTGAGTAACCAAAGACTGCTTACAGCAGTGTGAGTTTGTGTATAAGCGTGAGTTCTTTTAGCTAGCTTTAGCTTTCGCCAAAATGAATAGTGACTGTCTGCCATTAATCTGATATCATTGCGTATTGATTCTTCTTAATGGATACGTGCTTGACAGAACGATCGTGGTCATTATGTAGTCGAATGAGAGGCAGATAACAATCCATACTGCCATTCTGATACACTCGTAGAGTGGAGTGCGTGTTGCTATGATGTGTCGAGTGAGGCGTGTGGCAGGTCCTGCGGCGCCGGATGCGGGCTCGCTGGTGGCGTGGCTGCTCTGCGACTCGTTGCGTGTTGATATGGTGTATTAAATGAGGCGGGTGGCAGGTCCTGCGGCGCCGGATGCGGTCCCGTTGGTGGCGTGACTGAGCTGCGGCTCGTTGCGTGTTGATATGGTATATTAAGTGAGGCGGGTGGCAGGTCCTGCGGCGCCGGATACGGGCCCGCTGGTGGCGTGGCTGAGCTGCGGCGGCGACGCTCGGTGGCGGCGGAGGTTGCGCGCGCTGGTGTCCCTGCGCGAGCTGCGCGCGCCGCCCGGCGCCGGCTGCCCGCAGCGTGCAGTCGCCTCCGTGGCCGCCTGCCTGCGCGGCCAGCTCGCAGATCTCATCGCTGAGGCCGGGTAACTATTTAATAGCTGCATTTACATGTACACTCTTTCACACAGGAATGAATGTAAAAAATAATGTTCTCGTTCTTTATCTTTCCTGTGTGATAACCTAATCGCGCGTGAAAGAACGTCTCGTGTGAAGACAGCTATTGTTTAGATTTACTAGCAATCTTTTTTACGTGATAGAATATTTGCGCGTGAAAGAACGTGTCGTGTAAAGATAGCTTTTGTTTAGGTTTACGAACAATCTTTTTTGCGTGATAAGATATTCGCGCGTGAAGGAACGTGTCGTGTATAAGCATTTATTTATTCTGCCATATTAATATTATATTCATATTACCACATTTGCTAGCGGGTAAGTGGGCGAGTGATGGACGTGTCAGTATGCGTGCAGGTCGCGGCCGGTGGTGGTGGGGGGCGCGGGGGCGGGCGCTGCGCTGGCGGCCGCGCTGGGGGGCGCGCGCGCGAAGCTGCTGGTGGCGGCGCCGCTGCGCACGGCCGAGGGGGCGGCGCGCGTGGCGGGGGGCCGCGCGCTGCTCGTGGTGGGGGGCGCGGCGGCGCGCGGCGGCCGGCCCCCCGCGGGGGCGGCGGGGGCGGCGGGGGTGCGCGCGCTGCTGGTGGCGGGCGCCGACGACCAGCTGCGGCTGCCCGGTCGTCTGCGTCGACGCATGCGCCTGCCGCAGCACGCGCTCGACGCAGCCATCGCGGTCAGTACGACCGTTATTATGTTATAGTACTCTGTTTAGGCCTAACGGATTCTTCAATAAAATGTATTCTTATAACTAGCTAATCTCTCAAACGTTGTTTTGCCATAAAAATTAAAATCGCCATTAAATAGCGGTTGGTGATGGAAGGGTGAAAATTTAGAGTTGTATGTATTTTTAGTGACATAATTTTTAAAAAAATTGTCCATAATATAAAAAAAATTTTAGGGGTGGATAACCCTTATCACTTAAGGATATGAAAAATAGTTGCCGATTCTTAGACCTCCTTATTATGCGTATAAAATATCATAAAAATCGAGCAAGCCGTTTCGAAGGAGTATGGTATGACAACTGATATTGATAAGAAAAAAAAAAATCCCCCCTCCGATCGATCACCCGTCCAATTCAAACAGGGATCGAAATTACGACGGCATGAGCCGAGGTTCGAACCCCTAGTGGTGCCCTCAGACTAAAGTCGTATCCGTCAGGCAGGAGTTGGCCTTCAGCCGCTCCATAAGTCCTTCTGCGGGTTTGGAGTGCCATCTGCACTCGCCCTCTAACGTCCGGTGAAGCTGTAAAGGCCAGCTGCGACCAAACAGCATTAGAGTAGTCCGAAAAAAAAAGACGAAAAAAATATAAGAATAAATTACGAAAAGACAAACACATTTCATTATTTCACGTTACACTATATCCGAACAGTCACAATTTTATATAAATTTCAGGGTTATATCAACTTTAAAACATAAAAATTTAAAAATTATTTCAAAATCTTAATAACAACCTAAAGTTTATCCAGTCCAATTTTGAAGTAAGAAAAACTGGAGATAAATCGTCATGATATATTGTTGCTGGATATAACAAAGAATAGTATAAAGCAAGGCAATGATGGTAAAAAATTTCTTGCAGGATGAATGCGCGCGTTGGGTGCATGAGATAGCAGAGGAAGAAGAAACCTCGCAGGACCCATCACGGGTCAATACCAGTGAGTTAACATATTTTAAATTGTCTATTCGTACAACTAGCTGTAGGCGCGACTTCGTCCGCGTGTAATTTAGCAACATTACTTTATTTTTCTGAAATAAAAGTAGCCTAGGTCTCTCCTTATTACATCAGCTACCTGCTAATAAAATGTCCAACCATTTCAGAGATTAAGAACAAGTATTCTAAGAAATTCGGAACAAACAGATAGGCAGACAGACAAAAATTGTAAAAAAAAACGGTTACTTCAATATTACAAACAGACACTCCAATTTTATTTATATGTATAGATTGTCTATTCCTATTTTAAATTGTATATTTGTATTTTAAATTGTCTATTCATATTTTAAGTTGTATATTAAAGTGTGACTTTATTTTTGAGACATATATAAATAAAGTCATACTTTAAGAATTTGTCGACAAAATGCGACAAGAGGTGAGAGAAGTCATAATCGAACATTCATAAAAGAAATTCAATTGACTTTCTTCTCAGTTCTCAATTGACTCTGTATACTGAACTGGTGAGGAAAACATTTTATTATAAAAAAAATAAGGTCATAAGTGGTTAAAATGACCTATATGAATAAATGATTTTTATTTGATTTGGTTTAAATATTATAAAGTCTTTTTTAAAATATTATAGTCTCTGTTTTCAATATTATCTATTGTTTACTTGATACGGTTGTACTACTTCTAAACGAAGAGGTGTTGAGATTAAATAATGAGATTGAATGCAGGCGCAGAGGACGTATCTCCTGAGCGGATCGAGCGGACCGAACGGGAGCGAACCACGGGGTTAGTATACTATATTAATACCCAATTTTTTTTAATTGTATGGTGCTAAGACCACTTTACTGCAACTTACATAAATCTATTGTGCTCGCCCCTTTTCAAAGTTCGCTCCTAGACCCGCCAGGGACAAGAATTGAAGGATATTCTTAGGAGCAATGGTTTATATCTCCTCAGGATATTGTATACTTTCCAAAGGAGATATTACATTTATGCATGAGTTGGCTACAACCACATAGGATGTGTAGTGGCATTTCCTCTTCAGTTTGGCAAAATCTGCGGATTTTATTTATATAACATAAACTACTTTATAATTTTACTGACTACTCGCCCCGGCTTCGCACGGGTGTACATGTATTATATATATAAACCTTCCTCTTGAATCACTATTTATTAAAAAAAAAACGGAACAAAATCCGTTGCGTAATTTTAAAGATTTAAGCATACATAGGGAGTAGAGACAGACAGCGACAGCGACTTTGTTTTATACTATGAAATGATACATGTTCATACTGTGATATACAACTAACTTTTTTTTTTATTATGATTTTAAACTTATAATTTTCTAGTAATTATTATTTGTTATTTGTTACAATTTGGCTTGTCTTTAATTTGACAGTTTTAATTTCCTTATATATTACATTTGTACGCAATATTTAGCATAAAACTCGAATAATTGTAAATATTGTTTCAGTGGCAATCGTTCTATCGAGATAGTTGGTAAGTACAAAAATGATTTCAACACAGTTTTTTTATGGATGATATTGGAATGGTGCACCCGCCTGCGCTAACGGATTACGCTGCCGGGACACCAGTGGAAGATGACAAGATGAGCATGAGGTCACGTCAGTTAGTCCGTCGTGACAAATTCACCACGAATTTATCACGATGGTTTCTAGGGGGAACCGCGTGGAGGTCAATCTGACATGGTACGTTGCTAGCAACAAAACCATCAGTCCAAATGACTAACGATCCCTTTCTCCCCATTTCCAACACATATAACATTAATTACAAGCACATAGTTGTAATTATCATCTGTGAGACGCACTTCTTAGCATTTCATGTATTTACCGATATATATTTATGATAATAAATAATGGTCACTATAAGCAGTCATTCGTTAAAACCGGAGTCGCACTAAACGATTATATTTTCTTGGTACCTGACTACGAAACGTAACACGATTAAACATCACCGTCGCTAAAACCGGTTGGTCGTTATAAGCGTAGTAGTTATATATGAATTGTACTGTATATACTGTACCAGTATACTTTCTGTCTGTGTATGCCACCTTTAGTCCTTGCAACTTCCTAGAACACTTATCGCCCGGCACGTGTAACATTAGCAACGCATCTGCGCGACATTCAAGAAGTTGCTACTGTTGCTGCACCAGCGCGAGTATGCGACACGTGTAACTTTGTATATAAGGCCAAAATATTTTTATAATAAAAACACTTCTATTTTGTCTCTTTTCGGCTGTATCACTACAAGCTCCCAGGTTCTCGACGAAGTGGGTCCTAGACATAAACCCTAAAGGGACGTGTACACACTGCAGCAGGATCATCCGCAGATCCTTATGGACCGCTGGGTACGGGCCTCGCGCTTACGCTCATTGCCCGGGCATACTGCTGGGGTGAACCACCCCAGCGTCGTTCATTTATCCGCTAGAAGCCGGAAGCCGGTAGTGAGTAGTAGTTTTAAGAGCGCGCGTGGAGAGAGGCGAGTCTGCGAAGATGTGCTTCTCGCCCACTTTCCGCGCGCCTCAACCGGACGACAAATGGCTCCACCGTGGGGACCTTAATATCTCGGGCGATCACGTCATTGAGGATGTACACACATCCCCTTAAAATACAATAGTAGTAACGTAGCGTTCCCCCTCAGAGGGCCGCGTGGTGAGCCGCGTGTGTGGCTCCCGTCCCCTGCCGCTGGCGCCGCCGCGCCGCCGCCTGCCGCTGGCCGCCGCCGACATCCTGCAGCTGCCCATCGTGTTCGCGGACGACGACCCCACCCCCGCGAACCCCGTGCCCCCCGCGCCCCCCGTGGCCCCCGTGTCCCCCGCGCCCCCCGCGCCGCCCGCCGTCACGGTCACCAGCGGGAGGCCACGGTTCGCGCGCGTCATCCTCGCCAAGCGTGGTCGCCCGCGACGACCTATGTTGCTGCGGGATCAATGACCCCCCTAGTCGATCTGGAGTAAGTAATAATAATAACCCTGAACAATTGCCACAGCGCCATCTAGTCCCACAATAAGCAGAGCTTGTGTTATGGGTACTAGACAACTGGTATAAATGCTTAAATGTTTCTTTTTTTTAAATACATGCATAATTTACATAGAGAACACCCAGACCGATACAAACAATCCTATTCATGAATACAAATGTTTATATTGTACGTGGAATGTGTGTATAAATGGAACCCGCGACTATCGAAAGAAAAGCGGTCCTATACCGCTAGTCCAGACTTATTATTATTGTCTTCGGGAGACGAAGTACAATTATTATCACTATTCAATTCAATTCTATGAATTGTCCACTCAAAGCTCTGCTCAGCCTGGAACTAGATGACTATGTGTGAATTAATTATTACTTACTTTATTTTTATGTATTTATAACCATACTTTCTTGCAGGTCGCCTGTTCCCTTGTGACGCAATTTGCAACGCCGTCATTTGGTTATATTGGTTGGTTGGTTATATCGGACCAAGATGTAAAGTGATAACTTAACGCTGTTAATGTTAAAAAGTAATTTTTAAGGCTTTTTGCAAATAAAGAATACGTACAAATATATCAGAGTATTTTATTTCATATTTTTTGTTGGACTTACGTTTTTTTTTCGACTACTCTAATGCTGTTGGCAGCAGCTGGCCTTTACAGCTTCACCGGACGATAGACGAGTGCAGATGGCACTCCAAACCCCCGGAAGGACTTGAGCAACATTTGCAGGTCAACTCCCGCCTGACAGATACGACTTTAGTCTGAGGGCTACGCGAGGTGTTCGAACTCGGCTCAGGCCGTCGTAATTTCAATCTCCACTTGAATTTTTTTTTTTTAAGGATGATAATGGAATGGTGCACCCACCTACGCTAACGGTTTACGCTGGCGGGGCACCAGTGGAGGATGATAAGATGAGCATGAAGTCAGGTCAGTTAGCCCATCGTGACAAATTCACCAAGAATTTATCACGATGGTTTCCAGGGGGAACCACGTGGAGGTCAACCTGACATGGTACATTGCTAGCAATAAGATGATCAGTCCACATTACTAACAATCCCCATTCCCCCCTCCCCACTTGAATTGGACGGGGGTCGATCGGAGGGGCGAAGGACTTACGTACACTTGGTCGAGTGTCATAAGTCAAGCTCACTTAAATGTCCAGGCTAGTGTTGGCGTGGTGGGTCGGGTCATTGGGGTCCCTAAAGTATGGATGAGCGCAATGATTCTTAGTTCACCCGTTATACTCGTAAACGGAAGCTGATTCTATCAAATTTTTTTTTTTGCAATAAACAGGTCTACTTGAATGTGATTGTAAAATATAATATCCCATTATGTTTTGACATATTAGGCATACAAAATTTTAAATTATTTAAAAATTAATACTTTATCAATTTTATATTTTGTTAAACATATCTGTACCTATAGGTATATTTACTCGTATTATTATGTAAGTGAGTTCATGCCACAATAGACCCATTTGGGAATCATGGAAGAGTAACATGTAAGAAACAATCCTTATACAGTGGGATCTGGAAAAGTGAGAAACCTCTATTATTGAGACTTGCAATAAGGCCCAGGTACTTTTTCATTTAGTTAAGGGGACTTTTCGAGATTTGAATTGTAAGATTTTTTTCCATGTTTACCTTATATAATTGGGACTCTGTAGCTCAATTACCTGTATAAGTGAGACAAATTAATCAGACGCGGAGGGCTTTGTTTACAAACATTTGAATGTCTGTCTCACATGCTTTGCTTGTCAGTACAATTTCAGGTTCTTCCACCTCTAATATATGGAATAACGGTACATTTCGACCTCTATAAGCGGGGGCTAGGGAGGTAATAAGACAACTACAATTTTAAACCTCCTTAATTGGAAAACTGGATTAATGAAAACCCTTTATAATTGTTACGTAATTCTTGGTCACTCGAGATCCCAATAAATCAGGGTATTAAATTATTCTGCATATTAAAAATCTGAAAGTGCTTTCAGTAATTTCTTTACTACGTCTGATACCATCACAATTAGAATATACCTAATATTGGAAATGAATAAACACTAGCCTACATTCTTATATAGCTCAATATCCATATTAATAAACTTAATCCGGTCACGCAGACGAAATCGCGGATATAAACTAGTAAGTCAATAAGTGGAACCAATAGCCGTTTGTAAGGGGAGAAATCACCCTCCCGCAAAGTTGTTAGTAAGGTTCGACGATCAGCGAATGCACCGAAGTCGCGGCTCGAGGCGATTGTCGCGCGCATGTGCGACGGCGCGCGCTGTCCGCCGTCGCCACTGTCCTTACTACCGACCGACAGTAGCGCGACTGTCGCCAGCGCCTTCTGCCGCGCCGCCGCGCGACCTCACCACCTTTTCATCCACGGATTCATTCTTCTGTCATTACGACGCGACTGATAAAATGAAAAACGTCGACACACCCTACACATTAGTCTCTACATATTCGGATTGCGCGAGTTGCAAACTGCTTTAATAAACCTTGTGACATTTATTCTGTGGATTGCTGCGGAGAATCGGTAGCACGGTGGTTACCCATGAATGGAAAGCAATATAGGTATGTTTGCCACCACCGAACATATACAAATTATGTAAACCGTTACCGTTTTAGAAGAAACTAAGAGATTAAAACGTGACGTGACGCAACAATTGTGTTAAACTATAACTAGCTGTGCTCGTGGTTTCACGCGCTTGTAATTTATAGCCTGTGTTATTCTGATGTATAAGCGATATTACTGTAAAGATCATCAAAATCCGTTAGTAGTTTTTGCGTGAATCAGCAACAAACATCCATCCATACTCACAAACTTTCGCGTTTATAATATTAGTAAGATCTATTTCTTTGATGATGACAGAAGTTCATATAGGTGTTGTGTTTGAAGTACACTAAGTTATTGTAAAGAATATAAGCTAAGTGCTCTACTTAGATGCAAGCCATGTGTGTTACAATAGACCAAAGGTCTTCAACCCGCGGCCCGCAGGTCACTTGCGGCCCGCCGATGTATTTTCTGCGGCTCGTCAATAGCCCACTCTCAGTAACGACAACAATTAAGTAATAAAAATTACCTTTAATATAAAATAAAAATATCTGTGGTGCGGCCCACTGTACAGAATTTTTTTTTGCCCGTTAATTTGTAAAACATTGGAGACCGCTGCAATAGACCTATGTCCGCACCCCTTCCGTAATCAGTTCGAAAACAACGTCACTGCCTTGCTGATGACCATAACAATCTAAACGACGACATGGAGTATTGTTTAATGAGTTTAGAGTTTTGGAACAGTGCCCTACTCGCTCAGCTGTTGGTGTACCGCCTCTAGCGTCTTGATTGTCCGTCCTCGGAACACGTAAACAGTATCGATCGCTGTTGACTCGTGGCTCGCGACTGCACGTTCCAATCCAACGTAACATCTACGGCACTTAACATGTTACCGACCTATTCCGTTGAACCACTTTGTTGCTGACGAACTGGCCACATACTTTTATAGTTCATATGTTATATTTTTAATTATTAAAAAAAATATTTGTTTGTATTTAAAATAGTCTAATAAAGACAATCTTTGACAGATAACAATACATTTTAAATATTGGAACATTCCTTATTCTGGTTAGTGTTAATATAGATAATCCAGAATGTTTTGAAATTATTAAAGTACTTTAAAATAAGTTACAACAACAAAAATTACAACTTTAGACTTTTTGAATCTCGAAATATATTTGTGAAATTATAAAAAATGTGTAATAAATCTTTTCGAATAAATGAAAAAAACGATTTTCATTTCCATATTTTTATATAAAAATGAAATACTGATGTAAGTAGAAAAAAATAAATACTTAGATGTATTTCATTTTTAAATAAAAATACGGAAATGAAAATCGTTTTTTTTCACCACTACGTCCACAGTTAATGTAATGCCTTTGACTAAAATAAATAATGTAACCATCAAATAATCTTCATTAGTAATAGGTAAATGGTTAGATAATCAATTTTTAATCTACCGTCACATTCAGAATACACATATTAAATATTCGTAATAAATTATTTATATATTTTTTTATTGTGTGATTTAATTAATTAGCTTCGTATTATCTTATTAATATTATAAACACAAAAGTTTATATGGATGGATGTTTGTGATGATGAAACTTTATTAGTAGTATATAAGCTTATACATCGGAATAACATAGAATACTTTCATGCGGATGAAACCGCCGGTACAGCTAGTATTATAGAAATGACAAATGTTTGAACAGTAAATTTAATACAAATATATATTTTATTCCTATTTTCTCCTTGGCTTTTACGGGTATTTTTATTTTATTATAAATTAAATAATAAAATTAAAAAATACCCGTAAAAGCCATTTATTTTTATTTATATTATATATTAAGCACCTTTTGTACTATATACGTATAACATTTATTTAATTATCATCAGGTTTTTTTTTAATCTGGACAAAAACAACAAAACAATAGCATACTCATTTTACCGAAACAAAACAAAGAATAGTGCAGACTTAAATAAAGTAAATAATTTATAAGTATTACCTACGATCCGCATTACGTTACCTACCTGTGTTCCTATCTAGTCATACTGCTGCTATCTGTTCAATAATTCAAGATATTCAATAGGTACACCATATAACCTCCAATTCAATTGCCCCAGTTGTTGTTGCTACTGCATTATTCCGTTCTGTGCCACAGATATGCAAACTACTACTACTAGAAATGAAAATGGATGCGTGTTTCTACACCATAAAGTACAACTGAACGACTGACGAACTTAATAACACTAATTTTTGTAAACAATTACAACGAAATAATATAATTATTTTATGTACCTACAATAGAAACAATAACATTAACCTACTGGAAACTAGAACTAGATTTTTATTTTTTAATCGATAATAATAATGTATTTATTTAGCAAAAAAGTCAAAATTAGCATACCTACATTAAATTAATTTTGCAGTATGTATACATGAATGAACATGTATATACATATATATATATATATATATATATATATATATATAAACACCTCTTTGGGCACTTTGTTGATCACGCCACAACCTAAACACTTGCCGATTCCACCTTTTGCACTGAATAACTTGACTCCTATCGCGTATATCTCAGGCGGTATGGCAACGTCGCATTCTATTTTGCGATGCGGCCATATATATTCGTCGATAGTACGATATACTCGACACTTTTTTTACTAA